TGCTCCACAACCTTGAGTGTCTGAAGGCTGGTCTTCCTCCAGCCAGCACATTCAGCAGCAGGTAAATACTCTGTCCAAGCTTTACTGAAGCCAAGGATTGAGACGCCATCCAGGAACTGTTCACCCATTCACCAAACCACTCTTTGCCACATAACCCCTGGCTTTTCCATGTTTGAGCTTCAGATGGAGCTTCATTAAGCCACACTGGGAAGAGGGTACATGCTTGTGTACAAGTGAGGTTCACTACATCCTGGAGGTGAGAGCAAAATTTTAGTCCGTTTCTAACTCCCTATAGGGTCCATGGAACAACTAGCTTAATCACAGCTTTCCAGCAAAGTTTCCTGATGTGCTTTTCTCCTGGAGTTTGTCGCACTGATCTCACCCGTCCCACCCATACCATGTGCCTGAACACAAAAAGTGTTTTGGGACAAATTTGCTGTTAGACCTTTGAGTAATCAAGGAGGTACAACATGTAATGATGAAAGCAAGGTCAGCCAGCTCCTGGAGAAATTGAGGTTAAGGGCCTAGTAGTAAAATCACTAGGGTCAACCACAAGATTTGAAGCATCGACCTACTGATCACAAGCACAGAAGCCTAACCCACAGAGACATCATCCCATAGGACTCACTACTGTTAGACAGTGGATCTAACTAGTTTTCACTGGAGTCAAAAGAAAAATCTACTTTCCGTTTTTTTTGGATTGTGTCAATTTTGCATTGTTCTGTTTGGCCTGCATGGGGCACCAGCTTTTTCCCCCAGTGTTTAATGGGCCACATGTTTCATTTGCATGTTGCTTATGCTTCACTGTATCTCGACTATATCATCATTCACAGGGATAATTGGTAGTGACATTTGTAGCACCTGCGAGCAGTCATGCATTCACCGAGGGAGCAGGGCCTCACCGCTGACCTGCCGAAGTGTGCAAACGGGTGGGGGAAGCTTCAGTATTTGTGGCTCCTCTTGGGGACCAGACAGATGTGGTCACAGAAGGATAAGAGTGCGGTATTTTCAGTCTGTGAACTATTCCAACAATCTGAGTTTAGCTAATTACTATGGTCATTTTATCCCATTTTCTCATCCATAGTCTGTCCTCTTAAAGACCTTACTTGAAAGGGTGTCTCAGATCCTGTGCGGTGGACAGAGTCATGCCAGATGGCATTCCTAGATGTTAAAGAGTCTGTTTAAGCCTTACACATTTCTAATATTCCTTTTTACTACCCTATTTTTTTTCTTTGTTTTGACTAACGTTACAAAGAGTGTTCGTCATCGTGAGGGAACTTGTTAACAATAGCAATCAATTACATTTGCTTTTCTCTAAGTGGAACTTTCACACTGATGTGGTAACTTGAGAACCTTTCCTCCAATTTTGGAATTAGGTGTTGCAGCCCATTCCTGGGTGTTTCCATGGAGATCTGAAGACAAGGTGTTGGGAGACCTCACCTCCAAAGAGCACACAGTGACTAGTGTGTAATGCAGTAAGCTAATTTGCAGCTAGGTTTTGCAGTAGATGGTTGATATTCTCTGGGTTCAGACTGTGTCAAAAATGTGTGCATGAACATAGAAACCCAATTTGCTCTTACGTTTTTAGTTAAAAAACAAAACAAACTGGTGGACTGGGGTCAATTTTCTGATCTTAAGTACTGCAGAGTTAGTTGAAACACACCAGATGTTGTCTCTTGTGCATATTCACCTCTCCAGCAGATGTTCCCTCAATGACTCTAGAACATTGACTTACATGCCCGGAAGCATTTAGGAAACGTCCTTTGTACGTTTCCGTACTTTCTCCATTTGGAGAAGAGACTCAAAGATTCCTGAAGCCTGTGGGGGAATCTGGAAACACGGAAGGGGGGCGTTCTTCATGGAGCACTCTGTGGGGGCTGCTGCCATTGGAATCAAAGTGGGAAAGTGCTGAGGAAGTGCTTGTCAGTCACCATTTGGTTTTGCTGCTTGCTAATAGCCTGTAGTAGCAATCGACCGCGCAGTGCAGTTCAGTGTGGTTTTACACTGTCTATCAGCGTTTGTGAAATGTTGCTTGTGAAATGCTGTTACCCTCAGTTTTATTTTTTTTTATTTTCATTTGCTGAGACATCTTAATGTGTCCAGAATAAACACGACATTCAAGAATAAACCCCTCTCTTCCCATAACACTTGGACAGTGATTTTTGAATGCGATCATAATTGTCATATTCATTGGTTATTATTGGCCTGCTCCAGATAATTTGCTCGTAACATGTTCTCAAGAGAACTCTCTCAGCTGTCGTCTACAGCACGGCCGAAGGTTACCGTTGCTTGTAGAGATCTCAGTATTAAATCTCCTCTATAAAATAAACAAGCACTTTTAAGTTTACATGAGGAATACTTTAACGCTGGACAATATTGTGGTCGTTCCACATATACACAGAGCCTCAGTGGCCTCAGGGCATCAGTCACGTGTTGACCCTACCCGTCTGTCCCCCCGTTTCTGAAGGCAACAGAAAGGGGAGGTGTCCAAACGGCTGGCCCTGCTTTCTGCCTCGTTGGTCACATTATCTCCATTGGATCAGGAATGCCATGAATCCGCACCCAAGTCAACTCAAAACACAGCAGACCCTAAACTACTGCCATGCTGCCTTTGCTCACAAACAGCCCTGTGGCAGGCGAATTATGGGATTATATTGCACCTGCTTTTAGCTGTATTCTGGTACTGACAAAGTGAAGGTAACTGTATTCTTGTCTAATGTACCGTGAACTCATGGCGAAGCGCTACGACTTCCATTTTTGCGGATACTCTGCTCACCAGTGGTATGAACATGTCATATGACTCTTCTGCTGGATTCTCTACCACCCAGTCCAATCTTGTAGGCTCTGTACATGGTCAAGGTTTGTCTAATCCTCAAAAAACTGTGCACCGCTAATTTGTTTTTAGTTTATCTTTAAATTGCCGTTGACTAAGACAGTATGATTGCACAAAGTAACTCTAGGATAGGGAAGTAGAGATCATACAAAATCCAGAACACCCTACAGCCATGTGCTACGAGGCCAGTGCTGTTTAAGGGCCATGGGAACCTTCACCAGGCTGGATTTCCTAACCCCAGCTGGTTTTCTCATCTCAGGTTAATTTTACCAGGGTATTCAACAGGGAGGCGTGAACCCCCAGCTCTTCCAATAAACGCCTATTTTTTCTTCTCAGAGCTCTGGATGAAACAAATACTTGCAAAATAGGGATGGTTGCTATGGACACGGGGACCCCCACGTGTATCAGCCTGTACCGTGAGTTTAACGTTTCATCGGTCAGAAGTGTCAAAGCATTTGGTTTTTCTGGTGTGAACACTCACATGACACACCTGCTGGTAATCAATCACTGCGTGGAACACATGCGCAAAAGTCCTTTCCGAAATCGAATCAAAACTCAGCTTATGATTTGCGACGTGTGCTAACGACAGACTTAACACAAGAGCAGAATATGCTAAGTGAAGAACCAGGTCAGTGACTATCCAATCAGTTTATCTTTTTTTTTTTTTTTTTAAGCAGAAGCATGTCTTTCGGTTAGATTTACGACATCTGTGAGATGTCCCCAGCTCACATGACACTTTCATCCGGGTGGGAGACTTGAAAAAACATTAGCAGAGATCAGCCTAGGTCAGAAGAAGTCACCACACGGACACAGATAGACCGGGGTGGAGGGACCGGTAAGAGTAGCTGAGTGGGCTTCGGGGGCCTGCCAAGACGAAAAGAAATGCTCATGTAAGCCATCTTTAATTACGTAGAGCATGTCTGGCAGTGTAATGACAAATCAGCTGATTCCACATTGAAGGGGACCAGATGTCCAAGAGAGAGGGACTATTATGATGGCACAAATCACAAGGTACTGGGCAAACAATGTCATATTTAATGATGGTAGGGTGATCATATTTGGAATATAAAATTAAAACTGTAGCGAAGGAAGAATACTTTGTCACAGTAAAGAGGATTTCGGGAGACAGAACAGACGTGTAAAGGCGATGGGAAAGGCTTATGGCATGTCAAAGTCCACACTTATCTGAAAGGAAAGCCACCTTTCCAATTATTTCACTTCTCTATTCTATTCTATTCTATTCTACACACATGCAATTAATTAAATTAGATTATGGAAATACGTTAGATCATGAATTTTGTTGTTCTGATGTTCAGATTGAAAGTGTTCCTAAGAAATGTTCACATTTTTTCACATATTTGAGCTGTAATTAGCCTTAGAATCACAATTAGTGTGAAAGTGGAGAGAGCTTGAACCTGAAGCCTTATCTGCAGACCTGGGCACCCTGGAGGGAGTGTGAGCTGCAGTGTGTTTGAGTAGCGGGTTTGTCTTCCCTTGGGATTACTGTGTGAAAGCACATGCTGAGATGCTTAACCACAGGGGAGTGGGGGGGGGCAGATCTCAGTCTACCGCGACTTGTCAGAAATAGGAATTTAGCAAAATAGACACACATTTTTTTCTCTTTGAAGAATTGTAATTTTATATGCTAACTTGCTGTTTTGTGAAGTGTGTAGTAAGTGTCCTGTAAGTGGCGATGTGAAAAACATTCACCCTAAGCCACATAAAATGCCACAAGGCTAAAATTTTAGGATATGAAATTGGCGCCATCTGGTGGTGATTATTGAACATTGCGTGGCTTCAGAGAAAATCACGTCTCGGCTTCCAGAAACAGTACCTGTGCACACTTCAACATGAAATACAAAAAAGTATACAGTGCTTCTTTTATTAAAATCATGCTGCTGTACAAATAACTCAGGTAGGCTGTGTTACTGTTACTTCTGTGGTGGTGCTGCAATTTCTCTTTGAATCCAGTCTGGCCAGTTTGTAAATGTGAAGCTGTAAGTGGTGAATCTGTCAGTTGCAAGTAAATAAAAACAGATTTTTTTTACCTGGTACCCACATATTTGGTCTCTTTTCCATATGGCATGACATATTGTCATGGATGGTTTTCCTGTTACACTTTGACTGTGGCCTGATATTAATGACAATGTTGTTGCCATGGTTACAGGGCCGGCCAGGGCCATTTGGCCCCCAGGGACCCCAGGGCCCTGCAGGACACCCCGGGGTGGAGGGAATTCCGGGTCCCAAGGGACACAAGGGTGATCAAGGACCCCCTGGCATTATTGGACCCAAAGGAAGAGTGGTGAGTGTCTGTCGTTTCATAAAGCTCATCTTACACCAGCACCCTAACAGCCTCACTCTGCCACCCACTCACAGGGGAAGGAAGGCGTACCAGGATACACAGGAGCGGATGGCATTCCGGTGAGTGACAGCTCCCTAGAACCAATCACAGCATCCACAATACATTTAGGCTCATGGGAGTTTTACTTACACAAAAATGTTCTTAGGGCAGAAGAAAAAAATTAACTAGAGGAAGTGGGACCAACCAATCAGATGTCTTGGTCCCACCTCCTCTAGCTGCATGGACCCACCTCCTCTACAATCTGATTGGGTTATCTCTCTGAACCAATAATTTTTCATTTTGAATATTTTTGTGTAAGTAAAACTCGAGCTGCATTTTGACATTTGACATGGAGAGTCAGTCGTTGGTGTCATACTGTGACATTCATGGGTCACAAGTCTTATTTCGAATTGTGTTATGCTAAAGTTGGCATAACTTCCTTAATTTGTATTCTTCATAAACCGGTGTATGCATTTGTTATGTAATGTCTTTATCCACTTTTTCAGAAGCCATCGATGTATATGTACAGTATGTGTGTGTGTATGTGTGTCTGTGTGTCTGTGTGTGTGATGTTCATGCCTTTTTCCTTATGTTAATCTACAGGAGATAAATTATGATATTAGCAAAAAAAAAGGAGTTGCGTGATTTTTTTTAACAGTGATTTGCCATCTCTGTGACACTTGGTCATGTGATGCAGGGTCACCCAGGACAGCCAGGGTCTCGGGGGAAACCAGGCGCCGATGGCTGCAATGGAACCAGGGGTGACAGTGGGTTTCCGGGACCATCAGGCTCGATGGGTTATTCCGGTATCTCGGTGCGTATGAAGTCCAAAGCACCTAGTGGTCAGAGATGACTATGACAGTTGGCTTTCAATTAGTGTAATTAGACATTAATGAAGGATGTTGGGGGGAATTTTGTAATGGTTTTTTATGTGAATAAATGTTCCAGAAAAATCGTACAAAACTGTTTTGAAACAGGGTGAAGCTGGCAGGAAGGGAGAGAAAGGAGACCCCTTAGACGTCACGGTGTATATGAGACGTTTTCGGGTGAGCAGATGAGACGGCAGTTCAGAAGCCAGGCTTCTCTTTTAGATCAGACATGAGAGACTGTTTCCTGTGTCTTCCAGGGCGATCCCGGCCCTCCCGGTTCCACAGGCTCAATGGTGAGTTCCCATTTCTCTGCTGAAATCTCGTTGCTTGCATCTCCTGTATCCATGTATTCATTCGCATTCTCTCTCTGCCTCTCTCAGGGTCCTGACGGCTACCCTGGTGCCGGCGGGCCCATTGGACCCATCGGGCCGAAGGTAAGTGCAGCTTCACTATAGATCCTTTCTATCAGGGCTGGGAAATGCATGATTTCCACATGAAGAATTTAACTTCTGAGTTCTCTTATTTCAAATTTAGGGCCCCAGTGGAGTCCCTGGCCACAAAGGATTAAAGGTAAGTCTTTGTTTATTCATTCACTGTCCTCTGATAAGTTCTTAGATGGTTTAGATTTCTGTTAAAAATATGCAGCCCTCTGCAGGTCAGAAAGTGAATTGATTTAAATGTTCGTTTAATTGGATTTGAAACACAAACCCTCCTTATACTGCAATTAATATGAAACATACCATCCAACCATAACCTTTTCTTGTTAATCCTTCAGGGCTCCACTCCATATATATCAAGGGAAATGTTGAGGGGAGCCAAAGGAGATCAGGTAAGATGCCAACCTGCGGGGGGAGCTGTAGAGTTCAGAAAACGAGGAGGTTCTCACTGTGTCTGTCTTCTGATCTCAGGGTGAGATTGGCGAACCAGGGTTGCCCGGGAATGGCACTCATCAGCATATCGGACCAAACGGCAGTTTACCAGTGAGTCTATCGTGATGCACTGAGAACCACTTATACCATGTGATTTTTTTTTTTTTGAATCTGGTGATCATACAACCTTGGGAAAGTGAGCTATTGGTTTTGCTTCCATTCTGGAAAGAAAGTTGGACATCAGAATGCCTGGGGAGGGAGGCGTATTGGGTCTGTTATGTCTTAGGCCTTAGGTAAGAAGATATTGTTTTGAATATTGTGTGCCCTTGTCTCACAGCCAGTCTGCACGTAGTCAGAGTCACAGGCCCTGAGCCCTTGGAGAGACAGGCAGCAGACGGAGGGGGAACGCAACCGTAGGAAGGGAAACGACACTGCCCAGACTGGCCAAGCTCAAGGGAGTGCAATGTTATAGATCTAGAGTGTAGCTGCAATATGCTATACGCAGTATGTTGTATGGTTGTGACCCATAAGAGTTATTCTGTACTATAGTTCTGTAGTTTCCCATATGGGCTTGTAGTTGGTGAGTTAGGGTTTATACCCTCCTTCCCAGGCTGGCTGGACAGGATTGCGTGTGAGACTCATATGAGGCCAAAGGGGGATGGGTAACTAGTGTATCACCTGAGTATCGATTCAAGTGGGCAAATGCTGGGTGAGAGGTGGACGCCCTGATGCCAAGGTAGACCAATAGAGGTGGGGAAATAAGTTTGTTGTATGTTTGTGCTTGGTTTCCTGGTGTTTTGTGACCAATCAGGACTTAGAAGTCCTTATAAGGGAATTTGTGTGATAGTATATTAACGTGACACTATATGTCAAAGATACAACCAAAGGACCCTCCACCAAGAAAGGCTTACAGTTTGGCCAGGGGCAATGCTAGGATTTGCCTCATAGGGGGGCCACCATCAAGCTGAAGAAATACAGGACACCATCCCACCCCATGACAATAAAATACCAGATAAAATGCTAAATGTTTTTAGAAAAAAAAAAATTTTTTTACATGGGCACAAAAATAGGATGCTTAAAGCCCCCCGAAACAGGGTTCACAGTCGCCTATGGTTTGGCCCCCAACTCTGGTTGTTGAATCACATGTGACTCCTTCCACATTTTGGAGAACTTCTGTAATGGAAATATTACAAGCATGTGTGAAGGCTTGAGGCAACTTAACACTGTATTTGACACTGTATCTTTTTCTGAGAATGCTTCTGCTTGCCTGTTTGTCTTCAAAGGGTGAAAAGGGACAAAAGGGGATGAGAGGTGATAAAGGCGACAATGTAAGTGAGCCACTTGTTAGCGTCTGTTGAGCTGCCTGTGAAGAGGCTAAGAGCAGAACGCTGAGCTGAGTCCGTATGTGCCGTTCTCCTGTCTCTCTCTGCAGGCTGATAACAGAGGAGAAACCGGAGTGATGGGATTTCCTGGCCAGCGGGTTGGCAGTTTGCTATATTCTTTCAAAGGTGGCTAAGTAGCCTTTTGTTTTTGTGGCTGTCGAAATTTTATCTAATCTCACTTCACTTTCAGGGACCTTCGGGCTTGGATGGGGAACCCGGAGCACCGGTGAGTTCACCTGGATGTTTTGCCTTTTCCTTTAACTTGGCTCCCGCTCGGTGGATCGAAGAACAGAGAGTAGAAGTGAAGGACAGGAGATTTGGGCATAGAGTTTACAGATTTCGTCCAGATGGGTGGTCTACTAATCATTGCCCGTCTCTCATTTCAGGGACATGTCGGATTTCCTGGTTTAAATGGAAGAAATGGAGCCAAGGTTTCATGCAATTTTCTTGGCACTCATATTAAGACAGAAAGAAGTTTGCATGCTTCATTTGGCCTATTTATACAGCTAAACATTCTATTAGCTTCAAGTTCAGGTGATTCCAATGGGACCAACAGCTGTCTCAATTTTGGTGATCTTGATTGCTGGTCCCAACAAGGTTTTTAAAATGGTCAGTATGGGCCAATTAATATGAGTTGCTAAAAAGGTCCTATTTCACGAAAGACTACAGTCACAACATAAGGTCAGAATTTTGGGTCCCCATTAATATTTATTTGCAGTAATAACACACATATGTTAGTAACTTTACCAAAGTGTAATTGATGTATTTGTTGAATAACACCAAGACTTGTGTTTCAGGGTCAGAGGGGAGACCCTGGTGACGTGATAGATTATGGGACTGCTTTAGGTATGTCATGTGATGACTGAGTACGAATGTTTAGGATTATCACCTGATCTATTATTCATTCTGACATCCAATCCATGCTTGTTTTGAAACTGCAGTGGGGCCCCCAGGCCCTCAGGGTGAGATGGGCCCTCAGGGTGAGACCGGGGAACGCGGAGAGAAGGGTCTGCCAGGTCCTTCCGGACCTCCACCCAAGCCCAGCAGTGGTAAGACGGCACTTAGGGCATGACCAGTTCCAAATGCATGAACTGTCCTTTACTCTTCCTGTCTCTCTAGTTCTTTGGTGTCCAAAGAACGTTTTACAGTTGGAAAAAAATAAGCCAAACATTATTGTTTTGTGTGATTCCTAGGCTTATTTGTTGGCCACCCTGGGCAGAAGGGACAGAAAGGCATCAAAGGACCTGTTGGCCTTCCCGGAGCCCCTGCCCAGATCGCTGGATCTCCTGGTGATGATGGTCATCCTGGCCTTCCTGGAGCCCCCGGTCCTAAAGGGTCTTGTAAGTCAGTGTTTCCCAGTCCGGTCCTCGTGGACCTGCAGACGGACCACGTTCTTGCTCCCTCCCAGCTCCCGGTAGAGCAAAAATGTGGACTGTCTGGCAGGGAGCTGGGAGGGAGCAAACACATGGTCCATCTGTGGGTCTGCATGGATGGAGCGTTGGGTAAGTGGACACCAGTGCTATGGTGGGACCAAAGAAGAACAGCAGTGTGGAGAGGAGTGACCTCTGCTGCTTAGGGAGACACCATGACGGGGGGGCAGATGGCTATTGTGTGCAGCACTGATGGGCAAAATGATGGTTCATGCATCAATTTATTTTTTATTTTTTGCTTTTCAGGGGAAATTCAGTTTAAAGGTTTACTAGGTGAAACTGGGCGTCCAGGACTTGCTGGATTGAAAGGTCCTAAAGGTGAAGCTTTGACATCTGTCTCCATGGCAGATTGCTTGTTCTTGCATTCTCAGCCTACATCCTTGGTCCGAATATCAAAGTGCTTCCCAGGTGAGGCCTGAGCCCATTTGAGTATCTCCTATGGGCCCCTTCCTCTAGGAGACCCGGGGCCCTGCCAGTGCAGTACTGTGGAGTCCCCACCCGGCCGTGCGGGCCCACCTGGGCCAGCCGGCACACATGGCGTCCGAGGCGAGTGGGGCCAACCAGGAGACAGAGGCCAGGCCGGACCACTGGGTGAAGACGGATTGCCGGTAAGCTGTGACCTTTTGGGGATGACACACAAGCCACTGTCAGATTAGCTATTCTTATTCACACAGGCCCCCTTATTCAGTATTATTCAAATTACCTAACATTGCTCATGCAATAGGTTGGTGCCACATCCTGGGTTATTCCCTGCCTTGCGCCTGTAGTCTCCGAGATAGGCTCAGGACCCCCCATGACCCTGAATAGCACAAGTGGCTTCAGAAAATGGATGGATGGATGGATGGATGCTCACACAGTTTTTATTAACTAGTAGAGCTTTGCACTATAAATGTCAGATACATTGTAACCCTTCCCTCTATTGTAAGCCGGATAAAAGCATCAAATAAATGAATAAATGTAATTTGGGGTTCAGTGCCTTCTTTATGTAACTGTAATTCCTGGATTCTGTGAAATCAGTTTCCCTTTTGGACACGGGATGAGATAATGCAGCATAAAACAAGCCATTTGCGGATGCAGCCACACATGCATGACTCCTTAATAAGCTCCTTCTCAATCATACATCTCCAGGGTTTCCCAGGTCAAGCAGGGTCTCCGGGTCCCAAGGGCCGCAAAGGAGAGCAGAGGGAAGCCACCGAAAAAGGTACCTGCGGCCCCCGGACGCCTGCCCACAATGTGACCTTCATTTCCGCTTCATAGGGAACAGCCTGTGATTCTTAGAGGCGTCTCCAGCTAATGACAGGGCTGAAAATGCTAACGGCGATAGCAAACAAGCAGGTGTTTTGCATGGTTGAATTAGCAGCCGGCTTGGTGACTCTCTGGGTGTTTCGTAGGACCTCAGGGTGACCCAGGGGACCCTGGTGTAGGAGGGGACACCGGAAACCCAGGTGAACCTGGACCTAGTGGATTTTCTGGAATTCATGGCATGCAAGGTCCTCCTGTGAGTCCCTCCTCTCTTCTGGAGGCTACATATTAACCGATGTCCTTTTTTTCTCAAGCAGCTCCTATATTTGTCACTATATCTGTTAATTCTGTAAACCTTTGTGAACTATTGAAGGAACCACTGAAGAACTACTGAAGGAACAAGTCATGAATAACACAAGTGTTAACACTGTACTTGAGGGGATACAATGTAGTAGTACACGCTTACTTAATGTATTAATTAACTAAGAGTTCATCAATCAATTATGATGGTTGATGTATTTCATGCAGGGACTATTAGTTAATTATTAACTAGTTAGTTAACTATTAACTAATATAGTTCCTAGATGGAATACATGACCCATCATGACTGACTAATGATGAACGTGGGATCAGTACATAAAAACACTTAGTTACTGATAAATTAATGCACTAAGCAAGCATGTACACATTATTTGTGTCCCCTTGAGTAAAGGACCTATGCTTCTACATCTTTGTAAAGCTTTGTGAACTACTGAAGGAACTACTAAGGAACTACTGAAGGAACTACTAAGGAACTACTGAAGGAACTACTAAGGAACTACTGAAGGAATTACTAAGGAACTACTGAAGGAATGAGTCATGAATAACAAGTGAAATACTGATCTCATGTTTGTTTATCATCAATAAATCATGAGGCATCTTATCACAAGTAGTGACTATATTTGTTCATGATTTGTACTTCAGTAATAACTGAGTTATTACTAAGTATTTGGGTCCCATAATGTAAAGTGTTTCCCAGAAGTTCTAAATTGTTTGATTACTTATGGTTAGGGTTAGGGCTGGGTAGAGGTCAATGTTGTAATGCTGGGATTAGAGTTTTCCCCGTAGAAATGGATGGAGAGTCCCCGCAAAGATATAATTACAAACCTGTGTGCTTTTGTGTGTGTGTGTCTGTCTGTCTGTGGGTGTCTTTGTTCACATGTATCCTCTGGTTTGTGCTTCAGGGCGACAGGCCCGCTGGACCTCCTGGAGAGAAGGGAGTGAAGGGTTCTCCCGGCCTTCCAGGGCCCCATGGGGATCCAGGGAACCCCGGCATAGTTCTGGGTGCAGAACAGGGGCTGCCAGGTCCTCCTGGTGATTCGGGGTCTGATGGCCAAGCAGGACCCCCTGGCCCCAAAGGCCTTCCGGGTTAGTCCCTTCTTCTCCTTCTTAATCTTTCTTGATCTCTCTACTGAGTCTTGACAGTGCGCATAAAGGCATTCAGTTTTATTCAGCTGTGTATAGCCATACTAGCCTAACTGAACGATTAACAATATTTATAATAGTAATTACAGTCTGAAGTAGGGCTGCAACAACTAATCGATTTAATCGATTAAAATCGATTATTAAAATAGTTGCCAACTAATTTAATAATCAATTAGTTGGGTCTACGGTATTATACACATAAGTACAGTGGCTACCTCCTAATTTGGGAGCAGTAAGCTAACCAAAGCCGCGGTGGCAGTAAAGTACCATTAAGCTGAATGCCAACCGCCATAAAAGAAAAAGGTGACGAGAACCAATGACGTGCCTTGAGTAGCTTACGTGATGAATTCTGGGAGAACTGAAAAAAACGTTTAAAAAATGCTGGAGGCGGACACAACAGTGTCTTGTTTTAATTCTGCCAGAATTTGACGATAATTTGCTGAAATTAGGTCGGAGAGACACTGATGTATTATGTGACGTTGTGGAGTTTTTGGATTATTTCATGCAATTATTCAGATTACTTAACGCAAAGTCTTCATTCACCACCCCCACCCCCGATTAATCGATTAATCGAAAAAGTAATTGACAGATTAATCGATTAATCGAAAAAGTAATCGACAGATTAATCGATTATCAAAATAATCATTAGTTGCAGCCCTAGTCTGAAGCTTCAACACATAAACTCAGTTAACTTACTGACGCCATGCTCTGCCGGGAGTCTTGCTACATTTCAATGGGCTATGGGCTCTGCTGTGACCTATGGGCTTGTAGCTTCAGCACATGGTGCCTATGTGCGTGTATGACTGGACTAACCCTAACCTTCCTCTGTGGTACCCCTTGCTCTTGGTTCTGGAAGGAGGCTGTGATCTGGAACATGGTGGTGACATGAACGCTGCAGGTATCGCCTCCAACTGCACAGCTTGTGCTGCCGTCGCCTCCTAAAACCTCCATGTCCTCTTTTTCTCTCTGATCTCAGTATCAGTTCAGCATTATACACCTCACCTTGGCTTTCCCATGATGCAGCAGCACATGCTGACATACTGAATGTCGTGTTGTTGTGGCGTAATTCATAAGACCCTTTCGCCGGCATGCAGTCAATGAGACATGGCCGCGTTGAGAAGAATAATGGGCCTTATGCAGTGTGTGATTCTTGTGATTTCACAGGAGAGTGCATTGCTCTGCCAGGGCCTCCGGGTGAACGGGGCCTTCCTGGACCTCCAGGCATCGATGGTCACCCAGGTAATGATGTTTCAGCTCCAAAACCGTTATTGATTGAAGAAATTTTCCAAAGAATGAGATGGTAAATATAGACCTAGCTCTGTCAGATCTTAAAAGCCTTTTTGCTGCCTCAGGTTCGCCTGGTCGTGAAGGGATACCAGGACTGCCTGGGGAGGAAGGTCTCAAAGGTGAGAGAGGAGATCCAGGAGGAGGGGTGCCAGGCCGCCCAGGTGAGTGTCTGATTAATCTTAACTTACCAATTTCTTCCTCAGTTTCACAACATCCAACTCTGTTACACCATGCTGGTGTTTTAGCACCTAGCTAATTATGCTATGGGCTAAAATTAAATGTTTTTTCTGATAATATTGTATATTAATGAGAATAATGCCCAGCTACACAAGAACTGTTCCAGCCAACCATAAGCTTGGACAGGGGTAGGTTATTTCTGTGTCACAGAGGTGGAAAGTTCAGGCCCAGAAAGTACAAATCCAGACCAAGGTTTTGTTTCAGCCAACCACTTGAGTACTCTGTGACTCTTTATGCTTAACTGGTTGGTTGTAACATAATCTTGGTCTGGATTTGTACCTTTTGGACTTGAACTTTCCAGCTATGTTTTGCCCCCTCAGATGTTTCAAAAACTAAATAAATAGCTAGCGAGCAGACTGAAGATCGTGGCTAGCTAGCTGGTTAGCAGAAGATGCTGTAGGAATGTGTTAATATTTAGTGTAGTGACAGTTTCTGGCCAACAGGGGGTCCCACACAAATGCATGGTCTGAGAGTCTAAGTGGAGGTAAACACAACTGCAGTGGCTGGGTGTATGTGAAATTAACCACATGCAAAAAAAATCATTATCATAAATAGGACAGAAATGTGCCATTTTTTTAAAAGACGGCATTTTGATGTGACAAACTGCAGGTTTTACGGGCCCCCGTGGGGATGGGGGTAAACCAGGTGACCGGGGCCAGCCAGGGACACCCGGTATTCCAGGAAGACCAGGCAAACGTGGGGATGCTGGACTGAAGGGTGACCATGGGGAGGTTCTGGACGCACTACCTGGGCCATCTGGAGAATCAGGACCTCCAGGACTTCAAGGTCTGAAGGGCATCTCTGGGGATCCTGGCCAACATGGCTATCCAGGTGAGAAATAACTCAGAACAGTACAAGGGGTCAATGCCATCCATCCATCCATCCATCCATCCATCCATCACCCTTTCAACTGCTTATCCTGGTTAGGGTTGCAGGTACAGATCAATACCAATGAAATATAATTAACAGAGACAAAGTATAAATACAGATACAATCAAGCTGTTGCAGGTTGCTCCAACAGCCCAGTTCAACTTCAACCTTGCCCACAGGAATGTCTGGAATGCCTGGTATCGTTGGTTTCAAGGGTGAGATGGGTCCTCACGGTCTGCAAGGGGAAGAAGGAAAAGCAGGCCCACCAGGAATATTTGGCTACCCTGGGGCAACAGGACTGAGAGGGCCTTCAGGCCCTCAGGGGGCACTTGGTGAACCCGGTGAGATTCTCTTGGTTTTTGGGTGAATATCTGGGGATCTTGATGAACTGTGGTGAGAAATACATTATTTGTCTTGTCCTATAGGTATCCCTGGAGTTAAAGGGCTTCAGGGTGATTCAGGACCTCCCGGTCCAGTGGGAATGAAGGGGTTCCCAGGAGACCCAGGTGACACTGGTCTAATAGGCAGCGATGGGTCTCCTGGAGATCCAGGGGGAGAAGGCGAGTTCGGCTTCAGTGGTATGCCTGGAATGAAAGGTTTGTGTCTATCGCTCGCCAGCCCTGCAGTGGCATCTCATTTCTGTAAGCCATCATGCAGATGGTGAAGCAGTTTAAGGTAACATAGTTGCTTTTTATCTGCCGTTATCCAGTTGCAATTCTGTTCCCATGCAGGTTATAAAGGCTCATTAGGCCTGCAAGGCTTCACTGGAGAGCAGGGCCTCAAAGGTCTAAAGGGTCATCCTGGTCTGAAAGGCGAGACTGGTTTCATAGGTACTCCAGGGCAGAGAGGTGTCACCGGGCAAAGAGGCGAAAAGGGTAAGTCTGGGGACCATCTGCTGATCTGGTGTCTTATGTTTGATCATCTCTCATAGAACCAGCAGGCTAAGCTGAGTAGAGCTTCCTGAAACCTGTAGTAATAATAGCATACATAGGGACTGGCCAATACACCAGAGGTTGCTGATGAAATGTCATTTATTCACACACAGATCTGTTGTGTTAGACTAGTGAATGGTGAAGTGGGCTTTATAAAATAAAGAAAAATATATAAAAGGTTATATATAAAAATATATAACCTTTGTGTATTGTTTATATGTGCCTGCATGTGTGTGTCAGGTGAGAGGGGGTTGGTCGGACCTCCGGGTGAAAAACCAACAATCCCAATAGTCATGAAGCTAGAGATGAAGGGGGTTAAGGGCGATCCTGGGAAAGAAGGAGTGAAAGGATTCGTAGGGCCCAGAGGTAAGCCTGCCTTTCTCAGCCCCAGACAGTCCACATTTTAGTTCCCTCCCCTATTTGCTCATTTCAACCATATGAATCATTCGGTCATCATCATTCATCGGGGTTAAATAACTCCTCCCCCCACACCGAATTAGGAAACACTGCACTAGGGCACTGATTGCTAGCCCTTAAAGGTGCATAGCATTGCAGCTAGGAACTCTGACTGGAGCTGAAGTCTTTACAGGGGTTGCACCCAGGTAACTGCTGATGAGAGGTTTCTCCATCTGGTTGTGTCTAACCCTCCAGGTACCAAGGGTATGCCGGGCGTGCCAGGTGTCGCTGGCTTGGATGGCTTGCCTGGAGAGCCCAGCCTGGAGAAAGGTACCCAGGGCAGTCCTGGGTCGCAGGGCCTGATAGGGATCAAGGGGATGCCAGGCCCCACTGGAAACCAAGGCGTTGAGGGGTTTTCTGGCTTGCCTGGGAGCAAGGTAAGTAGGGGCAGCCCAGCAGCACTTGAACACTGGGCATGGCTCCCGAATGATGCTCATTGGTGTTACGGTTACAGGGTGACAAGGGATCAATAGGAGCCTACGGACGTATTGGGGAATCGGGCTTGAAGGGGGGCAAAGGTATGAAACATACCGGCTATTACTGTGGGTCTCTGCCTATCAGATGCACGGTTACATTCAGAGCTGTAGCTTTCATCTTAAAATTGGAGGAGAATAACAGAACTGTAGTGTTACTCACTAGTTCAACGGTTTAACTAGGAGCTTGTTTGGGCAGGTGAAGAAGGCCCGATCATCAACCTGCCAGGTTCCACGGGACTGAGAGGTGAAGATGGTATACCTGGAGACCATGGTAAGTTATGGACAATGGGATGTGGATGCAAGGTATGCTTGTGTCCTGCCATTAATGCCATACTTCATTACAAAACCTGGTTTGTGAAACAAAACAACATTTAAAACAAACACCAGTGGTGCAACCAGCAGAGCAGTGCAGTTTTTACACTATGGGCCCAAATTCCCCAAATCAGCCAGACCTGAAGGATTCTTGATTGGGCCAAAAAGCAGAGGTAGAATAGTGTGAATGGACCAACACATGGACAACAGGGGTGGCCAATCTTATCCGCAAAGGGCCGGTGTGTATGCAGGTTTTTGGGATAACCTGTAGGTCAGCTGTTCGAACCCAGGTGTGAGGACTCTTCAGCCAATCAGTCCCCTAATTAAGAATCTAATTAGGGAGTTGCAGAGATAACCAGCATACACAGCGGCCCTTTCTGGAAAAGACTGCCCATCCCCTGTTTTAAGAATTATTAAAGGCCAATAAGAATCTCCATGCTGTGATGGGTTGGTGGCCCATCCCAGTTCACTCCCCGCCTTACACCTGTAGTTTCCAGGATAGACCTTGGACCCCATGACCCTGAAAAGGGCAACCAAGTACAAAAAAGTGGATGGGTGGAAGAATCTCCCGGCCGTCTTGCCTCCTCACGCACACACTTAGTGTGCCGCAGTAACTGTCGTAATTGTGCTGCTGACAGCTGTGTTTCACCTACAGGTCTTGGGGGACGTCCCGGTCAGCCCGGTGACCACGGCAGCTCAGGGTTCGATGGCATTGAGGGTATGAAAGGAGAACCAGGGCTGCTGGGGTCACAAGGCCACCTAGGTAAGAAGGAAATACACAGCTTTCTACTGAAAGACAGGAACCACCACCGCAACTGCTATGTGGGCAGCGTGTGCTTCAGTGGGTTAAACCTCTGTGCCTGTGATCGGAAGGTTGTCGGTTCCAGCCTGGTCTCGGCACATCTGCGGGAGCTGCTATGGGCGGCTGCCCTTCGTGGCCAGTTTGCTCTCACCCTCAGAGAGCAAATTGGGGGAGGGTTAGAGAGAATTTCCCCATGGGGATCAATAATATATTGAGTATTATCATTGTTATTATTATTATGTAGTAAATTGTTTTCCTCATGTAAAAATCAGCAGAAGTATTGAATGTTGACGTTGTGTTTTTAGGCTCTAAGGGAATGAATGGCTTCCCCGGCAGTCCGGGCCAGAAGGGCTGGCCGGGGATCCCGGGCGAGTCGGGCACTGATGGTGCACCAGGTCTTCCAGGACAAACAGGTGTGTGACTGGTCACCATGCACTCCATCTACCACGCCTGTCCGCCAACGCTCGTCACTTATGCCTTTTCGTTTCTTTGTTAGACTATTTGTAAGTGCTGTGTGTCTTTCTTGCAGGTTTTCCTGGTCTCAAGGGTATTTTTGGCCTGCATGGGTTGAAAGGTCAAAAGGGCACCAAAGGACTGCCAGGTACTCCCCAGTTTGAGCAGGGCGACGTGAGATCCATGCTAAGGCTGACTATTCATAAAAATGAAAAATTCTGTATTTGAAAAAGAACCAGCTGGAAAAATCATGGTTCTTTTTTAGTAACACTCTACCTACAGCTCACCTATAGTGCATTAAAACTGTCAGTATAGGAATTAATAAAGCATTAAGCATCTTGTGTTGATAGTCATAAGGTATTATGATGCTGAACATAATACTTCATAAACTAAAATGAAGCTCATCTATATTGCACTATAAATACCTTTGTAATGCATTACAATAGTCAGTATAAGAATTAAGGATATGTTATACTGCATTTTGAAGGTTTCTTCAGTGATTGTAGATGAGAGCTTCATAGAGCATTTCTTATGCATATCATGGCTATGTGTTATGCCTTTTTATAAATATTTATAGCCATGTCTATAATGCTTTATGAATGCATTATAATGTGTTATGGATGTGTTCATAGAATCTTATAGACATGGCATTCATAGAAAGTGTTATTCTTTTTTTTCGGCAGGCTTGGATATCTGGGGACCTGAAGGTGAATCCGGAGTGAAGGGAACTAAAGGAGGGTTTGGAATCCCAAGTCCTTTTGGTGGCTTGCCGGGGTCAAGTGGCAACGTCGGCCTTCCTGGAGATCCTGGTTAGTTTGAATACGGTGGTTAGATATTCCATTGAAACCTTGAAGATGCATTGTGTACAAACAGCCAGACCCTGTCTCCTTACCCTGGGGTAATGAAGCCAAGTGTCAGTCTGCCATGGAACATAACAGAACATAATTTTGCTGGATACATGCTCTCCTCAGGTGTTCTAGGCTTACCTGGACTGCCAGGGCCTCCAGGTCTACCAGGACCACAGGGAAGCCGAGACAAGAAGGGCTCACTTGGAGACCATGGATTTCCTGGAGCAAAAGGAGCTAAAGGTGGGTCATAGATGGATAGGATGGCACCAAATCCTCTAACTGATGGAAGCTTAAGGACTGATAGAATACTATCTAGATACTGGAAGCAGTGGAGGTTGGGGATGTTCTTGTACTGCAGCTTCATTGCTGTTTGTTTCTATGTGAGTTGGATCATGTATGATGATGATGTTTCACAGGTTACCCTGGGGCACAGGGTCCCCCCGGGGTCCCATCTTCAAAGGGGGAAAAGGGGGACAGGGGTCTCCCTGGAACCTTCGGAGAACAAGGGGAGAAGGGTGATTATGGAGATAAAGGGCATCCAGGGGTCAAAGGGCAAGATGGACCCTCGGGACTGAAAGGTACAGGGTCTGGAACCTTCTATGACTGTGCTGTTTAGCAGCTGCACAATGGATCTGTAGTTTAATTACGTAATTGAGGGGATTTAGCTGGTGCTTTTTTAACTGAACTGTGACATATGTCCCCCAAAGGTGAAAGTGGAGAGCAAGGAGAGATGGGGACTCCTGGGCGATTTGGCGTCCATGGAGAATTGGGTCCTGTCGGTCCCAAGGGAGACACTGGACCTCCAGGTAACGCCATCGTCCTGCTTGGGATGATAATTAATAATGTGTTAGGAGATATAGCATCTAATCAGAAGCGGTGCGGAAAGGCACTGGCAGTGACTTCAGCATGAGGCTGCCTGTCCATTGCGGTGCTCATTCTCATCCTGATTTTTCTCTAATGGGACCTCAAAGGTTTTCCTGGGGAGACTGGCTCTCAGGGTCCTGCCCCCCTCCCTGTCAAGCAGATCGGTGAGAGGGGCCCCATGGGCTCTCATGGTATCCAGGGCCCAAGAGGAAGGGCTGGAGAGAATGGCCCCCATGGTCCCCCCGGTGACCCAGGTAGATGACTCACTGTCCTCCTATATGACATTTGTTGTTGTTTATTATTATTATTTGTATGAAGAGAATATATAAGCTTGTCTCAGTCTGAATGCTTCACTGAAGCAGCTCAGCTCTATGCAGCTGAGCTCAGCTAAGACCAGTCACCAGTCCAGCACCCGGCCCAGTACCTACCCTCCCACCCAAACCCAATCTAATGTGTAATTCTGCCCTCATGGGGGCCCTAAGGGTACGTTGGACAAAAGGGACAGAAGGGCATGCCAGGAGTGAGTGGCAAACCAGGGACACCGGGTTACCGTGGCGATCAAGGACTAGTTGGGCACCCTGGTCTGCAGGGCCTTGAAGGTAAGGATGCGTCTGGATGGAGGAGGGGGATTTGAACTGGGGAGTATGGTTCAGAATAACTCTGCCTTATCAACCACACTGACAGCAAAGGCAGAACATTATATACGACGCCAGTCAAAAGTTTGGACACAGCTACCCACTCAAAGGTTTATCTGCACTATTCTCTTATTTTACAATAAACATGTCAAAACGATGAAATAACATACTGTATATGGAATTATGCACTGACCAAAAAAGTATTAACCAAAAAAAAATATTTGTGATCCTATTTTTGTCCCATGAGCAAAGCCCTTAACCCCAATTCCTCCAGCGACTGGCTGACCCTACTGTCCCCTCTATGCCAGTTCCATGAGGCGGCCTCCTGGGATGCTTTTCCAGCCGTCCTGAAGGAGCTCCCACGTTTGTGCTGAGCTCTCATTGGTCATTTTTCCTTCACTTTCTGGTCAAACTCCTCCAAATCCATTCCTGCTGTGTTTAGGTCAGGCAGCCAGGTCATGTGATGCGACACTCTATCGCTCTCTCTTGTAGGCGGGTTGGCGTGTCCACACTTTTGACTGGAACTATATATCGAGTGCTGTTGGTTCCATAAACTCACAAAAGGCAAAGTCCCATTTATACAACCTTGTCAGAATCTCTTTCTAAATCATTCCCTCCATCTCCTTCTCTTACCCCACCTCCTACTTTCAAGCTTGGTATATTCAGAGTAATGGGGTAATGGTTCTGAAATCGAGACCAAAAGTGGAATACAAACATTTATGTTCTCGTGTTGAGGTTCCAGAAGGCAGAACCTCAACACCCCTTGCCCGCAACCCCAACTTAATGCCAAAGATGCAGCTTGTTGAGCTCCCATAACATTACTAATGTCATAAAACTAATTTTTCCATTTCGCAATGAACACTATATAAATCACAAAATTCTTATTATATTTAGAGTTAGGGCAAGCTGTATATTTCGTTAATATTACGCTTATCGTATTGTCTGTCACATGACTATTTTGGTGTAGTCATGATTGTTTGATCATGCATGGTAAAAGCCAGTCTAGTTTCATTATCACAAGATGGACAATAACCGCAGAGCCCTGGTGCACTTTCATGTCGGCGGTCTGGGAACATTTTGGTCATCCAGTGGAATATAGGGAAGGCAACCGTGTCATAGACAAAACGCACGTAAATTGTCACATTTAAAAAAAAGCTTCCTCAGCTGTCAGACAACGTGTAAAATACACAATCTCGTACCATAACCCCGCCCCCCCCAAAAAAAAAATAAAAAATTTTAAAGATGAGGTGTGACCTGAACTAACCGTGGATTTGGAGAATCATTACACCCCTAATTCAGAGTCTGTTTTCATGACGGACAGAGCAGAGGTCACAGTGAAGGCGAATCAGCGTCGCTGTCCCCTTGTCCCCTTGTCCCCTGTCTGTAGGCGAACGAGGCCAGCCGGGCTTCCCGGGGTCCCCAGGGATGCCAGGGCGCAGTGTGAACGTGGGATACCTGCTGGTGAAGCACAGCCAGTCCGATCAGACGCCCATGTGCCCGATTGGCATGGCCAAGCTGTGGGAGGGGTACAGTCTGCTTTACTTCGAGGGCCAGGAGAAAGCCCACAACCAGGACCTGGGTGAGTCCTGCCACCTGCCAGGGCGTCAGGATCTTCACATGTTCCTGCTGCGAATCCCACATTCTGATTGTGTGTTTTGACATTGATATGTTCAGGCCTGGCTGGGTCTTGCCTCCCGCGTTTCAACACGATGCCGTTTCTGTACTGCAACCCCGGGGACCTCTGTTACTACGCCAGCCGCAATGACAAGTCCTACTGGCTCTCTACCACCGCCCCCATCCCCATGATGCCTGTGGAGGAGGAGGAGATCAAACCGTACATCAGCCGCTGCTCGGTGTGTGAGGCACCATCGGTGGCCATCGCCATCCACAGCCAGGACATCACCATCCCCATGTGCCCACATGGCTGGCGCAGTCTCTGGATCGGCTACTCTTTCCTCATGGTGAGGCGTCGATTCCTTGTTTTGTGCCACACTGACTCCGGCTTTAGATACCCCAAAGGCATCTGGCCCCCCTGCACGTGCTCTGCAATAAGGGTCTGACCCCATCTCTCTTGCTTTTCCCAGCACACGGCGGCGGGCGGCGAAGGAGGCGGTCAGTCGCTGGTATCCCCCGGCTCCTGTTTGGAGGACTTCCGCACCACGCCCTTCATCGAGTGCAACGGGGCCAAGGGGACTTGCCACTACTTCGCCAACAAGCAAAGCTTCTGGCTGACGTCCATCGAGCAGAATTTTCACAGTAAGCCAGAGTCCGAGACACTGAAGGCAGGTCAGCTCCTGTCCAGGATCAGCCGCTGCCAGGTATGCATGAAGAACCTGTGAAGCCCTAGACCCCAAACCCTGCCCCCCCCCCGACTTCTTTGGATCTGCAAAAAAAACAAGACGAAGAAGTGAACAGGACAAAGAAAACACCGAATCCTGAGAAAGGCGGCTCCTGAACTCACTTCATGCTTGAAATGGTGCTTAAGTTATTACCTCAGTCATGTGTTTAAAGGTTTCATCCGTAGCTAAAGAACATACAGCCAGACCAAAGATTGATGCACTGCTTCTTTTAACCAGTCCTTCAATTGTTAGCTTGGAACAGAACTTAGCACTTCTGCAGAACCACTAACACTCTTCATCTGGCAAATGGAACAAATGACAGATGTTTGCAGATGTGATGATTCAGTTTCCTTCCATAATAGTAGGCTTATTTTGCCATAACAATCCTTTAACACGTTTTTCATTCCAACACGAAGCCTCCCCATCAACTTTTTATGAAGCTATATTAGTTTGTGATGTCTGCATTAAATCTGTATTTAAATAACTAACACAGTCTGTCCAAAAATGCACTGAAACCATTTTTAAAGCTCTGTCCACTCAATTTTTCCATTTTCACTATTATGGAACCGTACATACATGTAAAATGAAGACTGCGGGATTCAAAACATGAATGCTAAAACTTGAAGAGTTGTGTGCAGTCTAACAGTACAAGCAACATTTTAATCATTCATTGTATATGTGCCGTTACAATGTTTCATAAAGTATTTGATGTAATTAAGAAGTTGTTGGTTCATCTTCAAGATGAATTGCTAAATACATTTTCTTAAAAAAGTCAATTTTGTTGCATTCCTGTTCAAGCCTTCCTTGCACCTTGACATATGTGCACACTAGAATGAATGAAGTAATGGCTCACAAAAAGAAACCAGACGACCACACAGGATCTCCAATAAGCTTTTTCAGGGTCACTACAACCTATTTCAGTGATGAAATATACACTCATGTATCAGTATGTTTTAGTTTAATAAAAGGGGTTAGTTCATCCAAGTCATTCTGACAAACTTGTGTTTCTGCACTCAAGATGCAACGCAGTATTACTTCCCTTTGTATGATACATGAGAGGATGTGAACAGCCAATCACAGCTCACAGTGCAGGGAAGGACCACCCCTAATGAACTCTTGTCATTGGACAGATGCAGAAATTCTGCCAGACCACAGTGGTTTGGAACACACACTGAGCCACAGAAGCAGTGCTGCTGGTAACCAAGTGAAGATTAGCACAGGAAGTGAAACACAGCTGGCAAAAATCACAAAGCCCCCTCTCTCCAAGTCCAATGAGACACAGAAGAGCCAATAGCCAGATTATAGTTCTTTAATTTACAATGAAAGTTTTAAAATTTACATCTTAAATAGTCACATTTATAGGGCGATTAGGTACAATTTAAATGCATCCAATAAAAAATAAAATAAAAAAAAAAAGCCTGTTGATGTCACAGTTGGGATTCTCTAATAAAATTCCTAAAAACAGAACTGCTAGTGATTTTGGTTAGACACCATGGTGAAAGCACATACATTCAGTGATTTAATGGAACGAAGGAGGAAAACAAAGCCACCTCCGTTATCCATGACTCGCTCATGGAACCATGAGCAGAGAACCCACAAAATGATCACCGCACGTGCGTCTTCAGGAATGACAATCCAAACAGAGACGCCATCAGCTTTTATGTACTTTGTCCCCTCTGCTGTTGGGTGTGTATTGCATGCGTGAGGGGAAAAGGTAAATCACAGTTAAAGCACAAGCGATGGGGAATGTATTAGGGGCACTGCTGACGTCTTCGCTGGGCACTAAGAGGTGTGCTAGTCTGTGCTGGGAGGAGAGGTCAGGAGCAGCAATGGCTTTTGGCTTTGGCCACGTCCGCCGACTGTTCCAGGTCGACGGTGGAGATCTTCTCATCGTCCCTCTTCTTCATTATGGAAGGCAGCACCAGGTCGAACAGTGTCTCAAACAGCTGGTCCACGTTGTAGCCCGTTTTGGCGCTGGTCTCAAAGCACATGCTCTCGGCCGGTAAGCTAGTGCGTTCGTCCAGCATCTTGTACCTGAGGATGCGGCGGTAGAGCGCCATGGCGTCCTCTCGGTGCACCTGCTTGTGCGCGCTGGGGGAGGCTGGAGGGGTGGGACACACGCTGGCCGGACAGCTCTCCTCCTGCTCCCCCTCCTGCTCGACGGCCATGGCGTCGGTGAGGTCGGCCTTGTTGCCCACGACGGCGAAGATGCAGTCGTCGCTGGCGGTGTCGGTCAGGGACAGGAAGCGGTCCTCCAGCTCGGCCAGGCTCTGCCAGCTGGTGACGTCGTAGGTGAGGAGAATGGCAGACGCACCTCGACAATACATGGATCCCAACCCGTGGAACTGTTCCCGACCTGAACCACGCAGAGAGAGAGAGAGAGAGAGAGAGAGAAACACACACACAAGCCAGTTAGACATGTAGGCCTCACTCAAACACGCCATTGCGAGGGGGCGGTCGTGAAAACGAACACAGAGGGGGGACGGCGAGAATTCATTCGCCGGAGCTGAACAGAAGAAAACATTGTCTGGAAAACATGCAGAAGTCTTGGTCTTCACCACAGTACATAAGGTGCCATTGTCTGTCTGAAGGCGTTTGCTGTGTGGCCAAACTCTGTTCCAGACATTTTTATCGTCTATCCCAAATTTTTTTTACAGAAGAACAGCATTCACAGGGAAAAGTTTAATATTCATTACTACTTTTCCACCTGGGAAGGGCATTGCCATTAGAAATATATATTTATGCTCAAACAAATAAAAAGGATGTGAGAAGCACTGCCAGAATGGGAAAAAATGGTTTCTCAAAAGGCTTTATGTCAAAAGAAAGCAAGCAGTATAGCAGTTACGACCAGAAACCCAATAACGTCAATCCCATCAACACTTCAAACTGTGAAGTTACACGTGAAAACAGGAAACATTTAAAGGCTGCCTTCCTCTAAAAAAAAAACCCCTCATGCAGCATCACGCTTGTGTTTAGCTACATGACTCAGCATTCAAAATTTACACGGTCAACAAGGCTTAAAGCGGACAATCCCACATACCCAGAACCACTCCTATTCCCTCAATGTTAGTTCAGTGCAGCCATGGGACTGATAATACTCAATGTCAACAAGCGCCAACAAGGGCCGATAGAACCTGCGACTGAAGCAGCATTCTGGGTTTTTTTTTCTAAATCCAGAACAAATCAAAAGCTAGATCTAAAGCATCCAAGTGACCATCATCCACAACAGTTCATATCTCAGTTCCCAGTTAGAGCGCAATTCAGTTGGCTTGGATGGGCTGCATGTTGTCAGACTGAAAAAGTTTCATTGTTTTTGGGAAAGGATGAAGTACAAATAAAAACACCATTATCATCTTGTTCATATTCACAAAATTAAAGTAAGAGTATTACAGTAACATTAGCTTAACTACACCTTAAACCAGATTTTAACCAAATAAATGGCTTAAATTAACGGATTCCGCTCCCCTTACAGATCAGAAAATGCATTTTATTTGGTTTATTACTTTAGTTAAGTACCAGTAAATACATACATTTCACAATTTTATATTTTCTATGAAATTGCCGATGCTCTGTACTTGGTTAACCACACTCTTTGCAGATCCGGTAAATGAACTCCAGGCTGTCGAGAGGACGTTACATCTTCCATAGCCAAAGAGGTTGTAGTTATTGGTTTTGAAAAGGTTGCCTCTCTTTTTTGTGGTTAGGGAACAGTTATCAGCACCCATTACAAAAGGAGAACAGAGAAATGGTTTCAGATGCTGCTTTATAGCTCAGTCTATTTGTGGGGAATAAAATCCAGCCTATTGTACAACACTGGGGGAAGCTACTGGTATATCACCCTTTGCTCTCTCTCTCGCTCTCTCTCACACACACACACACACACACACACACTTTTACCAATATACTTTTACACGCAAAAGATTTTACACATTTTATGATTGTACAGCACTTTAGTCAGCACTGCCTGTTTTTAATGTGCCTTATAAATAAATTTTTGACTGACCAAAAAGCTAAACATAAGTTATATTCATAGCATATGAGTGAATTCTGACCTAAACTAAGCACATACTAACAACGTGACTGATGACTCAGGAGAGTTAAGTTCCGTTCACAGTCTAGGCCTGGCAGCCTCACATGGGTCCAGGATATTTTATTATTGCTACATAACCCCATGTACAACTTAAAAGGTTGTCAGAATTTCCCAGAAAAAACACACCAAGCCGCCGGACATTTCCATACACAGTTGCCAAATGATTCTGCCTCCTGTCAGACATGACATGCCGACCAGAACCCATTTAGTATTGCAATACCGTCCAAATACCTCCATTAACGCCACAGACGTTCACTTCATCAGGCGGGCACCGTTGTAACGAGCTTATCCTGCTCGGTGAGGACTATTTCACAGTCACACACAACCCGGCAGGGTCGTCACGGAGGTGTCCGTTTTATATGAATAAAAGGACGGACACAGTTTCAGGGAACCATCAGCAGGATCGGTTTATCACACAGAGCACCGTTCACACGTGGCTTTCTCCTAGGAAGAATTCAGATATCTACATCGTCAATGACAATTGTGGATAGGAAGAATGTCATTGTGGATATCTGAAATGCTCTTTTTAACTTGGATGAACTGAATTAGAGGTATCTGCAATACATATTCAGTCTAGCGATTAAATGTTAACACGGCCACTTAGGCCTATACTGCTTTCAAACCTGTAGCTAAACTCACTGAGCGCTAGTCTTCAGCGCAACTGGCCAGGTGGTATAGCAGATAAGGGTTTGGCACAAAGTAGAAAAGTGTCTGCTCCTAACTGGCCCAAGAAGGAAAATCATGGACTACACCTTGAAGCTGTATCGTCAGCATAATGAAATCATGAGACTCAAGTTATCACGAAAGATAAGGGGAGAGAAACCCCCGCATAAAAGAAAAGCACACAGACACAGTAGTTTCTAAGCAGAAGATTTAGGCCTGCCAAGGCATAAAGTTAATGATTAAAGCAAAGTGTGGCATTAATTTAAATGACACAAGATAAAACTTGAGCCCTGCTCATCCCTCAGCGTTGGTTAAAAATTCGGAGAGCGCTTGTCTCCCATTAACCTGGAGCGCAGCTTATACGCGTGAAACGCGACCCGAAGCTGCCCGCCCACCTTTAAATTAAACCCCCTGCAAATCAGTCACTCGATGCACGTAAACACTTAATATTTTCTCACTATTTTTTCTGATGTAGACCATGTTAAAGACTTCGGAGCCCTGGAAATGGAATATTACACACTATGCAAAAGCTCGTTGCTGAACTACAAAAACGCATTAAGCGTCGTATTATGGCTCTCCGTTTAACGTTTGGTTTAATCTTTGCTTTTTATCATTGTAATTTATGGGTATAAAGTAGTCAGCGCTGAAAACATGTTTAGAAATATTTCAGAAAAATCCGTTAATTAGTGGTAAGTTTAGGTGTCAGGTTGCTCGTGCAATTAGGTTAATTGCCCGACGGTGGCAAAGAGTTTACCTGCAGTGTCCCAGATGGAGATGTTGTAGCGTCCCCACTGCTTCAGGAAAAACGCCCCTCCAACGGTACTGATGGTGTCCTTAAACTTCCTCTCCATGTACCTGTGCAGCAGAGAGGTCTTTCCAACATTCATGTCACCGAGGATCACCAGCTTAACGTCGGGTTTCTTCATCTTGGCATAGTCCGGCATGGTACTCCGCGAACGCCGCCTTTTCAGCCTTACCGGGGACGAAGTTGCTCTGTCTATGGTGTACTTTACTTTCATTAAAATACGGAAAGGGCCTGTTTTAGTAACTTTAACCAAAATGTGTTTCAAAGCTCGGCTAGGCTCTGAAACATGGTAGATGATTTTCCCTGAACTAGTTAACAGACACGGAGTCGGGATTAGTGGCCGTGCCGACCTGCCTCGTCCTATCGATACGTTCCCTCTTCTCCGCCCGACCCCCTGCCTTGTCTCCCTACGGCTCCCCGTCTTATATTATATAGCGTCTCAGCGGTCATGCATATTGCGATCAGCTCTTCAAGCATTTGGGAGTAAACTCCTTTGGCGATGACGAAACAGGAAGCCAGGAAATGGGTGAAATGCAACAGTGTGACCTTTTTAATGAAATCAAAGTAATGTGACGCCACTTTTGGGATACGAGAGATGATTTCGCCACGAAGTAAAGCACAGAAATGTGGGCAGCATGTACCCTATTGGTGGGTGCGATTCAGCTTCAGATAACACAGAAATTAAAAAAAGAACTGAAAGTAATCAGGTTATAAATAGACCCATGTTCTATGTTATAGTGCGTTCATGAACTAACGATTCGTGGTAATTTCCAATATGGGTTTTCAGAACATTTTTAAATGCTCTTAAGGTAGCCTACATGGTGATGGCAACCCAGTGTTAAATTTTAAAAGACGAAGCTGAAGATGTTTCTTTAAAAATGATTCTGATGCAATAAGTAGTTGTAATATTTTTCCAAGTATGTATTCTGCCGTTATCACGGTTACATAGCACACACATTGTTATGAGAATGAGACCAGTTTCTAGAGACGAGAAAGAGTAGCATTTCGTTGGTTCTACTCTGGGTTGTTTATGGGCCAATTAATCCACTGAAATAAAACTATACGTACTAAAATTTCGACTAACTGAAACTTGCTGATTCCACAACCTTAATTGTTTGATGTACGTCCACGATCATGCATGATCGAGACGACAGTGCTATTAACAATATACGTTAGAATTACTGGCCAAAAATACATAAAAAATATAACTTAAATATAACTTTACTGGAGATCGAGAAAGTCATGTGCCACGAGAACTATGCGCAATAAGATGTTTTATCGCTTGCAGGAATCCCAACACTAACTCTAAGAACTGGTATCCTCTAAAATTCTTTTAACTGTAACTCGGTTCATACTAAATACAACTTAAACTTAATTTGACCAAATAAAAAAAAAAGTTTTACTGCCGGTCACTAACACAGACAGCTGCAAGTGTGACGGCGGCATACAGATATTTTGGACGAATCATGTAAAAGGAGACGACCTTTGACCCCTATTGACAGACTGTGATTGGATAGATGGATTAAACACAGTTTACGCAACGACCATTCATTTCCTGGTCGACTGGAGCCTCGCAGGATTCGGCTAATGAATAAGATTAGCTTTTCCCGCGGTCTCCTGTCAGAAATAAGCCGTTGCTTCCCTCTAGGTAAGAGCTGCCCGATTGATACCTGTGCTTATGCGTGGCAGAATGCAGTTAGGAGCGGGCGCTGCGGCCGTATGCATCCTGGCAGTCCTGCTTTCGATATTTCTCTTTTATAACGAAGGTAAAGGTAACAGAAAACCTCCATCGCTTTGTTTCACGGCTCGTTTGTTTAAGGTTGCCTGTCAGACTGTTGTCACAGAGTTCACTAACACTACGATGTGTCCCCTGCTTGAACGTCAGGCGCACAGACTACCCGATAGTATTGCTTGCGGTCACATACAGAAGCACTGTGCACTTAAACGTGCACATTGTCTTTAACTCGCCAGTTACTTGGTTGTGTTGATGTATCGTTAGATACAAGACAGTGATTTTCACCCAGTTATTATGCAACTGAAAATAAATCTGCCCTCAGTATTACTGATTCCAAGTGTCCACTGTGGCGAGTACGGAGAGCACACTGATCCCCATGATGAAGCACGCATATCTCGGTGACGCGCAGCCTTGTGACGGTGACGCGCACACTGGTCTCGGTGACGATTACGCGCGTCTCCCTGAGTCTGCTGTGGACAGATCTGATGCTCCGCTGAGCGGTGCTTTAATCCTCGGCTTGGCTGAATTTGGTGTAATCTCTTTTTTCTGCCGTGTGAATGTCGGTGACAAAGCGAACTGCTCCGTTTGACGAATCCCGCTGCGCCCGGGGCGATTTGGAGAAGGCCGGTGGGTGCCGGTATGTAGGAGCGGGGACTGCGTCCAGCGCGTCCTCGGGCTGGTAATCCGCTTTCGCCCCTAGCTGACCGCATTTCTGCTGCAACATGCTGGCGAACACACGGGGCTTTTTGTGGTCCGACGTGGAGACCAGAGCTTTGCTGAACATCTGGGGTGAGCAGGACGTGCAGATGGCGCTGGACGGAAACTTCCGCAACAGTCACGTTTACCGCGACGTGGCCGGCCGGCTGGGGGAGATGGGCTACGACCGGACCCCAGAGCAGTGCCGCATTCGCGTAAAGAGCCTCAAGAGGCAGTACTACCAAGCCAAGGAGGGCACTAGAAGGAACGGCCACTGCCACAAGATCTGCAAGTTTTACGAGGAGATGGAGAGGATTTTGAGTAGCCGACCTCAAATGGAGACGCAGGATGGCGTGGCCACAGGAGACGAGCCCCTAGACGGTATGGAGGAGGAGGGAGATGGCGCAGAGCCTGCACAGGAGACCTTGGTGGAGCATGCAGGAGAATCCTCCTACACTCAGCCCACTGTGAAGGTGGAATACCCAATATTCCCCATCCCAGTGACAGTGAACAGCGGTAAGTTTCATGGTCCTTTACTTGCCCCTGTTGTTCATATTTTGACTGCAGTCAGTGATGCTTTACTATACAGATACTGTGTTCCAATTATGTAATGATAGCAAACCAGCTTACCAAGTTACAGGGATGACTCCCGAATGTTGTGAGAGTTTGGCTGTTTCCATGGTAACCGTGTGTAAGCCTGGCGTCTGTGTTGCCTTCACGCTGTTGCCTCTGCAGGCGCGTCAGTAAGGCAGCCTGGTGCCCAGGCCTCCATGGGCAGCCCGTCCTCCAGCCGGCCCAGGAAGTCCCGGAAGTGCTACGCCAGCCTGCCTCTGGACAAACTCCTGGAGCGCTTTCTGGAGCACAGCGTGGAGGCCGAGGAGAACTTCCACAAGCAGGAGGAGCAGCGGCAGCAGCTGGAGGAGCGGCGCCGGGAAGCAGAACACGCGCGCGAGCTGCACATGCTCCAGATGTTGGGCCAGATGTTCAGCGGGATGGTCACGCCCACCCCCGCCCCCACGCCGCAGGCCTGCCCCCAGCATCACGCTGACCAGCAGCCTTGCGGAAACCGAGGGGCCGTTCCAGCCCGTCCGCTAGGTACCCCCCACCTCAGATTGGCAGGGAGAGTGGCCATGGAAGAGTATCAGGAGTCGCTCTGGAAATCGCACTCAGTCCAACTCGATGGCCCATTTCTGCCTTGTGTCAATCCTGCTGAATGTAGATCTGCATCTCCACCAAAACACAATGCGTTTACGGGTCGGCTTGTGAGATTAGGGCTTATTACCTGGCGTTTGAGTTCCTTGTTGTTTGACTTCACTGTCGTTTCTCTTCAGTTAGTCTATTCAAGTGCCAACCATTGTGTGACATGCGCAGATCAAGCCTTGCGAAGCGTCTTTATTGTACGTCCATCTGATATCAGATCTATCCTGGTGTGTTCAGGTAACAGGGATGCCACGTGAGCTGATGCCAACCCTCGCCTTTGTTCCTCCTCCAGTTATCGAGCGTTCGTTCTCCGTGGGGGGCACCGCGCAGAGGAACATGGACAGCATCCTGCCTCTTGTGAAGAGCATCATTCCCCCACTGATGCCTAGGAAGCACAAGGGCCAAGACGGGCGCATCGGCATCGTCGGAGGATGTCAGGAGTACGTGAGCTTTCCCCAGAGCTGCTGTCCTGTGCCTCCGAGCTCAGACCCTCCCCTGCCACATACATTATGTCTATTAGTCAGTCATCCAAATAATTACAGATCTGTTACCTGGAAACGTACCTCTGGTTTGAGCAGGAGAGACAGTGTTACTAGTGTTAATAATAATGTAAGAGTTAAAATCAGTCTTTTAGAAACAGCCAAAGCAAATCCTGAGATTGTGACGTATCACCCATTGCGACAGGTATACAGGGGCTCCGTACTTTGCAGCGATCTCTGCATTGAAAGTGGTAAGTGTGTAAATCGGCGACTCTTCCTGTGCCCTGCTGGAGCAACAGTGTATCCCATCGGCACATTTCCTGTCTTCAGGGGGCGGACCTGTCTCATGTGTTTTGCACCAAAGATGCTGCCACTGTGATCAAGTCCTACAGTCCCGAGCTGATTGTGCATCCAGTTCTGTAAGTCTGCGAATGGCACCATGCCATAGCACCTCTCCAAGCTTGTTTCTGTCGTACGCAAACCTGTTTTCATAGCTTTGCGCGCACTAAGCACTTCAAATTCCTGCCCCCGTGAACCAAATGACCACAGAGACGGCCCTGATGCGGTGGAGGAGGTGGAGAAATGGCTGCCGAGACTACACAGCGTGGTCGTCGGACCTGGTTTGGGCAGGGACGATAAGCTCCTTAAGAATGCCAAGGTGAGTAGAATGGTGTCACACACATGGTCTCTTCTGGATGCCACTTCTGCTGGCAGAGATATGAAATATGTGACTGACAGTAACGTTTAAATGCTCTTCACCTGAACATCAGCATGAAAGCAGCAGGGGTGACCATTCAGACTGTCGCTGAAGCTGAATTTCAAGGGCTCATTTCAGAAAATCTTTTCTTTCTCTATTCTCTATTCTATTCAGGATATTATAGAGAAATCAAAAGCAAGAGGCATTCCTGTTGTTATAGATGCAGTAAGTACACCCTTTTATATAATATGCACACACACACACCACACACAGACATTAAAAAAATATATCATATAAAAGTGTGTGTGTGTGATATATATTAAAAAATATATATGCACACACAGCGCAGTTTCTTTTTCTCTCAATTCCTTTTAGGATGGACTTTGGCTTGTTGCCCAACAACCAGCCATCATTCATGGCTACCCAAAAGCCATCCTCACGCCCAATTTCATGGAGTTCAGGCGACTCTATGAAGCAACGGTGAGACACCTGGGAATGCCCAGCAAATTCATTTTTTGGCAGAACATTTAGCGCCATGGCATGTGAAGTATCCAGTCCACTGGTCAGAGCCTGTGCTTGTAACACTGCTCGGTGTAAATACTGCCCGGGTGTCCTTACTGTACTGGGGAGGCATGAGACACGTTCCCCTCTCCCTTTCTGCTACAGCACCACGAGCCGCTGGACAGCAGTGACATCCAGAGGTCTGCTCTCCAGCTCAGTGTAGCCATGGGGAACCTGACGGTGGTGCTTAAAGGAGAGGAGGACATCATCACCAATGGGAACAGTGGTGGGCACCTCTACCCAGATTAAGGTTGTTTGTCAATTCCAAGAACGCAAAGATAGTACTTGTGGTCTTGGCAAGACCGGTCTTACTAACTTGCCTCCAAAGAATGAACTTGGGGTGCAGTGAATCTTGGGATTGGTGTCATTTGGCGAGGATACAACAGATGTGTCCTTGATTTCCGATGATTTTTAGCGTTGTCTGTACTTCTGTTCTTAGTATTGGAACTGGTCTTCGGCAATGTAAGATGACGTAGACCGGGTACGCGAGAACACAAGTGCAGTCAAGTACGCATATTGAGAAACACCCTAAATTGGCAAAAAAAAAGGGGCATTTTACCCACAATTCCACTTTTATGAATACCCAATGACCTCTCGCCGTCTCCACAGTGATGGTGTGCAGTCAGGAAGGCAGCAGTCGGCGCTGCGGTGGACAGGGTGACCTTCTCTCTGGCTCCCTGGGGGTCCTGGCACACTGGGCCTACTCATCGACAGCAGAAGCCACCAAGGGGTAAATGCTTATGAGCACAGTCCTGGGTTTAGGGTTCGAGACAAATCCAACATAGTGGCTGATTTAAACGGGGGGGGGGCACAGGGATGTCCATCCCATAACCTCAACTTGTAATCATTCATTAGTGATCCTTCCTCAGATAGTAAAATCTGTGGGTTAACCGTTGCTTACCAGGGGAGACCCCCTCATTCTTAGGAATAGTGATAGAGTGTGTTGACTGTCCCTCCCTGCCAACCCAGCACAAGCCCAGCAATGGTGGCCGCCTTTGGGGCCTGCACCCTGACCAGGCAGTGCAACCGGCAGGCGTTCCACAAGCACGGCCGCTCCATGACCACGTCGGACATGCTGCCGGAGATCGGGAGCGCCTTCCGGAAGCTCTTTGAGAGCTGAGGTCATAACCGGTGGAAGCACCTCCAAGGCAGTGACCCCTCTGCTTGTGGACTTTGTGAATATCTTAATAAAATCACTTGGAGGAGAACTGCAAAGGTACCATAACCAGGCCGAAATGACCTTGAAATAACCTGGTTTCACAGACGTCACACAGGAACTACAGCAAACAAAGAAGCCATATTACCCTGTACCCCAGAGAGAGGTTTTCTGATTAAGTGCCTCATGATTTATAGACCAAAACGACCAGCATCTCATTACACTATCCATTAAATGCAGAATGGATTCAGACCTACTTACCTAAATGACAAGAAGCAGCTGTGGCAAACTCCTGTACTACATGGACACACAGGAATAGAGCAGGTGACACATAACCTGTGGTATTCTGGGTAAGTACCCGAGGTTGACCTTTATCACCCAACCTTTGCAGTTGTCCTTTGGATGGTAAGAGAATGTAGCTCACACTGTAATTCTACCAGTTTGTCAACCCTTAGTCTAAAAAGATTAAAAGGCTTGTATGATTTTCCGCATCTTAATTAATATCTAGGTTATTCTACAAAAATTCTTACTGGAGGGTAGAACTTGTTCAAGTCAGAAAAGCCAACATGTGAATCTTCCGGAACCCTGGAGAACGTGGTGAAGCAGAAAGTTTATTTTAAAGGTCACTGTTAAAATATAGGCAGCAGCAGCAGAACTTGATCAAACAAAGCAACTTAACATTTTAAGCTGTACGGTACATTCAGCATTTGCCAAGATGACTGACAGTAAAACCTGAACCTGTTCACAACAGAATTTAAACATTTACTGCTTTAATATCTCTGTGCTACTGCTGAGTTTTTGCATTGGTAAAAGTCCCGTCAACCAGTGAACAATTTAAATAATTCAGGAACTGCCTGTTAGTCTTGTACCAGACTTCTGGAAAGATCAAAATTGGAGCTCATATTTATAAAACGTCCACACTGCTGTTGGTTCCATTTAGAACATGATTTTACATACCACACAGGTCTCCCAATTGCATTCCCTTCTATGCGATGACATAGGCATCTACAGAAGAATGGGCCATGAAAGCCAGGGAGGGACATTCCCCAATGTGGAGAGCTCCCTCATGTATAGCAAGCTATACAGTGTCCAATCACTTCTGTGCTAAACTGTTAGCTCCACCCCCTGCCAGCTCTCCCTCCTGCTCCTCTGTCCGATTGAGTTGTGGCCTGGTGATCTCCCAGGTGGAATGTGAGCCTCTGTCCTGAAACAGCAGCAGACAAACGTGTCTCAGGGTGACTCTCATTCCTATTACTCGAGCAGTTCAAGAATTATGTTCAAAGGTACAACAGCAATTCCTCTCATCAGCCAAAGTATATACTTGGTCACTAAATAACAGGTGTAGTCTGGGTTTAACTTTGTGTAAAAGCTCTTCTAAACTGTGCATTTCATTTTAAGATGTGTGATGGTAATAGCATATTAAGCCCTGACTGCTGGTCCTCAGCACAGTCTCAAAGGGATGGATGGAGTGTCTGTTTTTAGGGACACCCAGACCAGACCTGCCATTAGGACTCATGCTTTTAGGGTCAATCCAGGATTAGAGGTAATCAGGCTGACAGCAGAGGGGACAGAATTAGCAAATTGTGCTGAAGGAGTATGAGCCAAACATGCCAACCACAAGCAGAATGTATTAATAACACCAAAATTTTATATGAGCAACAACAATGATAATACTCGATACATTATTGATCCCCATGGGGAAATTCTATTTACGCCTCCCCCAATTTGCTCTCTGAGGGTGAGCGCAAACTGGCCACGAAGGGCAGTCACCCATAGCAGCTCAAGGGCCTCGCCGACGGACCCGCAGATGTGCCGAGACCAGGCTGGAACCGACGACCTTCCGATCACAGGCGCAGAGGCTTAGCCCACTGAGCCACATCTGCCCCCTTCCAGGCTCACTGTGATCACTTTAACCAATGATGTCACTATCCTTACCATATTGGGGTAGCAAAGGCACAAGCACTGGTCCCATCTCTGCTGGCTGAGGCTCACCTTTATGGACACCCCAAGAGGGGCCAAGTCTTTCCGCAGGGTGTCACAGGCCTTCAGCAAGGGCTCCCTGTCTGGTCTGGGCCTCTTTCGGCCAGGGTGGAACCCAGCTGGGGAGGCGCTGGACTTGTCGTCCTCTGTAGACAGGGCGAAGTGCCGCACTTCGCTGCGGAACCTGACCAGCTGCTCCACCACGTTCTCCAGGGTTCCGGAAGATTCTGCCGTGAGGCCAACCTATGGCACAGGGCCACCTCAGAACCCCATGTTGTCCAGAATGGTCTTTTCTCAACCTATGCTGTTACATACCATCATTTCATCTGATCTCCAACATACAATCTGTGGCTTTTTAATATACTTGTAATTATGCCTGAAAATTCTAAGCATGCCTAAGAAATGTTTCCTGCTACTTAGATTCACATCAGAAACTGGTGCCAAACCTTTCTTTCCACTGGATCTATGCCCACGACATCTAGGAAGTCCTTAATGTATGAGATGATCGCGCCAAACACAGCTGGGCTTCTGGGTGAGCCATCGGTCTGGTGGGAAAGACAGCCATGGTTAAATGGTTAAACTGGAGCATATGACTTACAGAGACACTGCACAGTAAGTCACACCACACAGTATCACATGTGCACACCAGTTTGAACATTTGCCATCACTGGATAGGACTGCTCACTGGATTACCTTGGTGACAACCTGGAGTTGACCGTTTCCTTGGTAAACAAGGTTCATCACAGCACCGATGGCCTGTGGGGTGTCAAAGTCATCTGCAAGGGCTGTCTGGATGCTAGTCTTGGTGTCGGCTAACCTGGAACATCCAGAACCGGTTAGTAAAACAGACACTTTGGTGCCTCACGAGTGCTGGACTGGTTACAGCCATGTGTCTGGAGTGTGATTTATAGTAGCGAAGCTTCGTTGAACCATATGCTGTATTTTTTACGCCCACTAGATGGTGCTCTTGCTCTGCTTTGAGGCATGCTTTGAGGCATGCTTTGAGTGCTTTTATGAACAGAGCGCAGTGGGGTCAGAAAATACAGCAAACAGTTCATGAAGTTTCATTAGCCATTACTAATTTATAGCACAGAAGCAGGGTAATCCTGGTGAGTAAAAATTGTGGACTTTAGGGTGCGGGGGCTACCTCTGCCACAACATCCCCTCATCCACAGCCTGGCTCAGGAGCTGCCCTTTGATGTAGGCCTCAGCATCATGGTAGAAAGCCGAGATGGAGGACAGCAAGCTCCTGGCTTCCACCATGCTGGCATCGCTGTAGTCGATGGCTGACAATGTTAACAAAGCATGAGGACAGAGGGCTTGAATTCGGCCCCCCTCCCTCCACTTTAAATACTGCCAGATACAGAGCAACATGAGGGGAGCGCACCTGATCTATAGCGGCTCAGCAGGCAAAACATGCGGAATTCACTGGCAGAGTAGGACTGCAGAAAATCCTGTAACGAGGCCCACAGGATGGCAATTTAAACTTCAGTCATTTTGGCAATTTTAGTACTTTTGTAATTTCATCATCCCCCCCCTACCACCACCCATTTTTTGCTAATTGTTTCAGCAAGTTTATCACTCATCTCACAGATTTCACTGAGGCTAAGTTGACATGTATGAGCAAGACTGGACACTACCTTTATTGTAATGTAGTTTTTCAGTGACTTTGACATCTTCTCTGGGCTTCCTTTTAGATGTAGATGTCCTGGAGGGGGAATGTCCTTTATTAATAAAAATCTAACAAACATTTACAAACCACTGGATTGCTTGAAATGACCTATTATCATTAACCATATCTTTCAGAACCATGTGGAAATTTGTAATAATCACATTCCGTAAGCAGCCTACCAGAATGCAAGAAGTAGTTGCCCCACTGCCCACACTGGTGGTAGGCCTCACACTGGGCAATCTCATTTTCGTGGTGTGGGAATGCCAGGTCGATGCCCCCAGAGTGGATGTCCAGATGGCTTCCAAACACCGAGCTGCAGGTCCAGGGACAGTGGACAGGCTCAGGCTTCTACAGAGCCACCCGACCTCATTCAGAATGGAAAGACTCTGTTTGCGGATCCCTGACTGTCTGTTCCCTATAACGTACTGGCATCCCATTAAGGGTGTGCCTCCAGCCTCTGAGCCTGGGATAGGCTCCTTCCCGTAACTCAGACCGCAAAAGCATTCATAGAAGACGTGGTTGGAAGATGGATGGGTGAATCTGAGGCAAGGGAATTTTTTTTTAAAAAGACATTCCTTTTGTGTGTGGATCGCAAGAGCAGCTGTGTGAGGAGGACCCTGACCTGGCAATGGTGGAACATTCAATGTGCCAGCCAGGTCTACCCTGCCCCCAGGGGGAGTTCCAGGCCGGCTCCTGGGGCTTAGAGGACTTCCACAAGGCAAAGTCCCTGGTGTCACGCTTGTCCCCATCTCCTGGTGAACAGAGCCACCTGTCACTCTTTGAAATGTTTAAGGACAGTGAAACACAAGCTCTGATTGTACTCTGAAGATGACTCTTTAAAATGAACACACTAGTCTTAAATAATAGTAAATCTCCAATAAAAAGTGACTTATGTTTGATATTAAAAAGAATAAACCACAGCAAATGACAGCCTTCTGCTGCAATGGACGAGGACGTATTTAAGCTTATTTGAGCTCCAGCAGCAAGGAGACACACTTTGTGGAATCAGCATTCTTGAGTTGTGACTGACAGGGTTCAGAGACAAAGACAGACAGGCATACCTGGTTCACAAGCATCTTCTGCAAGACCAACAAGCTTCCCGTACCGACTCCCGATGGACCTGATGTCAAAATACACATTCCCTGTGTTAAAATAAATCAGTCAATCAGGGCACCCTCTGCATCCGGCAATTATCATGACCTCAGTACTACCAAAAGTTCACTGATTGGCAACAGTAGTTGCTTCAGGCCATGTGTAACCCCATAAGCTGGGTTTGAGCATCATATTTACAAAAGGTATACAACTGAAATGCAATACATGTTAAATTCACCTTCACTGGTGAGATAAGCATGGCCGTTGTTCACGATTTGCTGTATGAATGCAACAATCTGAGGTATGTTCTCTGTGACCCTCATATAAACCGTGGGCGGCTGCACCTAATAGGACAGAAACCACGAACAACACTCTTTGAACACATATGGCCATTTTCCAATTATACAAAAAAAAAAAACACAATTTAATCATGTTATGATTCCAGCTGTTGGAATATCTGCAAATTCTTGTGTGTGAAACTCACCTTTAAAGCCAACATGTCAGTCTTAAACTCTTCTTCATACGTTCTAGCCAATACAGTTGGAGAAACCTTACCCTGAAAAATATGGTCACCAGACACACAAAAAAGTATGGTTTATTAAACAGTGGGTCAGCCTTATAGTGTTCATCTTCCAATCATTTATCCAATTCAAGCTCATAAGTAAAAACAAAACATAACATCAATTTACCTCTAGAGCCCTTTTAATGATTTTATCATCGATGTCGGTTATGACCATGACATGGATTACATTTATGTCAAAAATCCGGGACAAAATCCTCTGCAGGATGTCAAAACGAACATAAGAGCTGAAAAGTAAAAAGAAAAGAGGTTCATCCATAAAACGTGATAATCGGTTAGTAATAATATTAACTTAGAAATACAGAATTGTAGTTTTTCAAAAAATAGTATGTTATTTGCCTGACAGACACTTTTAAGGGCTTAAATTTCGGTTTATTCATGCAGTGACATTCAAACGGGGTCAGCAGATTGACAGCTGGAATTTTCATTCTGCTGGGACTCTGAATCCATCCTTACACAGCGTGCCACACATAAAAATGAAGAGAAATTGTCGTGTGGGGTTACTTTTATGTGAGCCACCGTCTACCACCCATCTTTTAGCTGAAATGCCTCCCTAAACTGCAGTTTGATAAGGAAAACGTCTTACCAAGCGTGGCCCAGGTGAGCATCATCATAGACTGTCGGTCCACAGCTGTACCTTTAACAGGACACAAGACCGTGTTGGTTACCAGCCCTTGGCGAGGTGTCCTCCACACACGTGAACGCTCAAAGACATTCTCATTACCAAGAAGCGACTCCGTCCTTCGCAAGGACCAGCGGCTCCTTCCTTTTCGTCAGACTGTTGAAGGTCTTCAGGCCGGTGTCGTGCCCAGTGGGCTTCGTCCAGCTCCTGTCTGCCCCGGAGCAGCACGGGTGTACAGACGCGCTGTGCACGAGTTTGGCGGATCTGAATGATGCCTCCGGATTTTTACCGTCTCTTAGCCGCATTCTTGCACAGTGTGAGAATCTCAGGTATTTCGTTAAGTTTCTCAACACCCGTAATTTCACGCAGTACATTGTGGATTTGTGTGTGGTAAGCAGAATGAAAATAAACCAGTAATTAAAAATTAACGTTAATCTACACAAAACACCTGTGTGTACTTGTGTCTCCTCCTGGCCATATATGTACAACCCTGAAACTCAGATAAATGTTTCCGAAAGCACCGATGCTCAGGGTACGGTCAGTCAGACAAGGATCCCAGTGGTGTTCTCTGCACACGACGGGCGGTTAGCAGAGGCGGAACGGGGTCAGGGTCTCTCTGCCCGGTGTACAGTTTTAAAATGGCCGATGAACAGCCTGTCATCTCACCGGATACTGGAAGCGAAAAGACAGACTCTGCCGTCTAAAAGTCTTGGTGGCTCAGGGCTTTCACACCACCTGGATTTTGTAATCTGTTTACCCCACTAACACGATAAAAATCTTCTTGCAACATCACCAACCGAATAAAATGGACATAGAAGAAAAAAAATCCCTGCGAAACGCATGCGCAGATGGCCGCAGTAACGTTACCTCTGCGTTTCAAACTAAAGTGGTCAGGGGGGCGGATCTGCGCATGCGCAGATAGCTGTACTAACATTGCATTGGTGTTTCAAATTCGTCTGAGATTTTCCACATTGGATCACTCGCGTCATTTAATTGTTGTTTCAACGAGGATCTAAATGAATATACCGCCAGACAGCGAAACATCTGCGGAGACTTACCCGGTTTTATATGGAGAAGAATTAGTTAGATATACGACTGGACGGGACAGGCGTTGACTTATCTTCTGCCCACGCTGAAGTACAGGATACTTTAATTTCCTTTTATTCCGAAGGGACAGATGTAGTTTTGAACGGACCTGTGGGCGAACGGAAAACGAAGCCTACAGAATGCTGAGTCCCGCCACCTGCGAGTCGTCCTACGCATCTAGGTACGTGGAGGAGTACCTGGACCTAGTGGAGTCGCTGCCCTTCGACCTCCAGAGAAACGTCTCCCTTATGCGGGAGATTGACGCGAAATACCAGGGTGAGGCATGATCTCCATCGTTTGTTGGGGGTGCACTGGGGGGTGGGGTGGGTTGCGTTTCTGAATCTTTTCATTAACGTGTCTGTAGCGATGTTAGCAAATCGGTCATAACTTTCAGAACGAGGGGCGATGGAGAGCAGGGAGGCGGGCTTGATTTACCAGGCACAGATGGCGACCGGGACTTCGCACGACTTAGCGCCGCTGGTCGCTTTTTCCACACACAAACACCCCCTTTTCACATTATCAGGGGAGGAAGGCGACCGGCATCCCAAAATTTACCAAGGGAACCCTCCTCCCAGCCGGCAAATTTTACCGAGGGGGCCCATGCCTCAATCGGCCCCGCCTGATGTGAGACGACTCCTCTGCCCCTTAACAGGTCCGAAAGAAATCTGTGCCAGCGCTGATGTTTCCCAGCGCTTTGTTTTTAAACGTTTGCTATTTTTAGTCTGGCAACTACTGCGGAACCTAGTTCGAGCAAAACACCATGTTATATTGAAACAGGAAAGCATGTTCTGCAAGGCAACCCTAGAAATCCTGGCAGTGGGCTTACTGGTTGAACAAGTTACATATTCTAATTCTTTCCAATAGTAAGAAATCTGTAATTCTGGAAGACCTATTTGGTGCTAAAAGATTGAGTATTAATAATACCCGTGACAGCGATTATGTCGTTTGTAATGAAGGGCAGGGTGAGTACATTTGACGCATTAACACCGGGTATTTATCTTACAAGCGTCTGTGTCTTACTCGTGCTGTTAGGACGAGGGCTGCCGCTGTTTACAAAGCGTTACTGTTATGCTGTAGCTGTACTTCTACATGCAGCGGATGCGTCTCTGCACATTACGCTTCGTTCCGCCATCGATGCGGCACGTGACCATAAGCGCTTTAGCGCTTCGTCTCTCGTTGATTGGCTGCATGGCCTCGTGCCGAAGAGCGCCGCCCACATTTCGTCTCAGGATGGGGACGCCGCTTCCTAATTGGGTATTTCCATGTTTCGGGCGGGACATGGGAATGTTATTTTTAACGTCGATTGGCTGCATTTGAATGTCAATCGGTAGGAAAAATTTGTTTTGTTTAACAAAGTCGCACAATTACTTTTTATGGCATGCACTGTTTATTATTTTGGCTTCCTGTGTACTTGTTAAAGTCATCCCCCGATATAGGGTTGTGCGGTCTTGCAGTATACTCTATTATCCTTCTATGCATATGTTCGTTTGATTTGGAGCAGGAGACATTTCTTCGTCATTTAATTGCATGTTAAAAATACATAATGTATTCACATTAAAATTTACATTATTCAAATCAAGGTATGCTTTGAATTCTAACTTGCTAAAGGAAGTTTTTTTTATAATATGTATAATTATGAAATATTTGTCTTTGCATATTTGACTGTATATTCTAATGACTTAGTAGGTTAATGGTCATGCATTTTGCCCTATTTATGCACTGTTACTGCTTAGTTGGCTGTACTCAGAGCACTGAGCCAATAACCTTCTTGTGATCTTGCCATGTTGTAGAGATTCTGAAGGAGTTGGATGAAGCTTATGAGAAGCACAAAAGGGAGACAGACCCAGCCCAAAGGAGGCGTCTGATGTATTCCATCCAGCGGTCCTTGATACGGAGCCAGGAGCTGGGTGATGAGAAGATCCAGATCGTCAGCCAGATGGTAGAGCTAGTGGAGAACCGTGTTCGACAGGTGGACAGTCACGTGGAGTTTCTTGAACCTTCTCAGGAGCCCGTGGAGAACGTGACTGGTCAGGAGAAGAAGCGGGACGAGGTGGTCATCATCCCAGAGAAGTCCAACGGGAAGCGCTCCCGGCGCCAGAAGAACCATGAGAACCGTGAGAATTCGGCTGCCAACCTCGAGCATGGAGATGAGGGCAGTGCTGGGACACCCAAAGAGAAGAAGGTCAAGGTCTCCAAAAAGAAGAAGAGGGCCAAGGCCAAGACTGAGAGGGAGGCGTCTGCCCCTGATGTTCCCATCGACCCCAATGAGCCGACCTATTGCCTGTGTGACCAGGTCTCCTACGGGGAGATGATTGGCTGTGACAACGAAGAGTGTCCCATCGAGTGGTTCCACTTCTCCTGCGTGGGACTCAACCATAAGCCGAAGGGGAAGTGGTACTGTCCGAAGTGCCGGGGGGACAGTGAGAAGACAATGGATAAAGCCCTGGAGAAATCTAGAAAGGAAAGGGCCTACAACAGGTAGCTTCTTGGGTGGAGACCAAAGACCTGATGACCTGTTAGTCAGTCCTGCAGCATGGTTAGACACACCAGACTGTTGCCCTTCCCTGTAGCATCACAACCTGATTCAGGTTCCCAGATGATTTACGCACTAGTGCAAGAAAGCAAGACGTGTGACACACAGGCCTTGTACTTTGACATGATGTTGGTGTCAATCTGACTTTGCACACAGAAAGAAAAAGCAAGTAAGAGTTGGACTGGAAGATCTTTTGATCAGAATGAGGGATGATGAGTCTGTTCCCAAACAGCTTTCAATCTGCTGTACATAAAGGTCTTCGACTAATGGCGTAAATATAGTTTTTTTTGGCTCAGTGACCTTCAGTTCACAGCTGCCACCCCAGCATCCAGTCACTGTTCCTTATGCTATTGGTGTGGCTTAGCAACCTGTCAGTACCTCAATGGGAATGATTTTTACGAATCAGCCCAGAATTTTGAGTTTAAATGAGTGAAGTACCCCCAGCACCCCCCCGAAAGAGACACTGGCACTCAAGGTCATTTGGCAGTAAGCTTAATCAGATCTGTTACCAATAAGTTCAGATGTTGATAATTTTGCCAATGTTGACCCTGCGTTTTTTTTTTTTTATTATTCAGTCATTTCAAACATTGTTCTATTATGCTGTGCTGTATATTTTTGATTGCACTTCCTGCATTTGAAGTGAAGCAGGCAGTTGTATAAATGTCCTGAAAGCGGTGTATAAATGCTCCACCAGTAAACAGAGTTTGCAGTGTTTACAAACGTTCAGCTCTGACGCTGTCCACCTTTGTTGGAAACATGGTCTCTCTTTCCCTCCTCGCTGCAGGGACATTTAAAAAGAGGTCCAGCAATGTCATGTTTGGCAATTGGCCAGATAAATGTAGGGTTAGACTCTAAATCTGGCTTGCAAAACAGATCAACACCTACTACCCCTCAGGGTACAGCGCTGCTGAGGGCATATTAATAAACAACCAAACTCCTGTCCAGCTCACATGTTGACAGTACTTCTGTAATCTCACCAGTACAGTATTTGTATATTACAGAAAGTAAGATCATACGACTGTTTTAGATGTCATGCAGCCTTCGGATAAAATGCCGGTATTACAAAGGAATTTCACATTTGGTTTTTGCAGAAGTTGAAGCTTTTGGTTAAAACAAGCAATGCTGCCCTTAAAAACACTTCATATTCACAGTCACTTTAACTCATTTTGCCCCTTTATTTACAATGCTAACAAAATGCTAAGGTGAACCTTTGCAGGTGCACAGAGTTGAGACATATTGGGGTTGATGATCCCTTCGAACCTGGCCTCAGCCAGTCTGGGTCCTCCACATACACATAGGGTATGATAGACACAGGAGACCAGCCCAATAATCAAACCCTCCAACACACTCGTAATGAAAAGAGCAATAGGTGATTTGCATCCGTTCATGTACACCAGCGTTCAGTACAAAAGAAATGCAATTAATCGTTAAGCAAAGGGACGTTGATTCACAAAGAACAAATTAATGCTACAGAGAAGCAAAGACAGGCCACCCACAGAGGTCTACAGTGCAGAAAGATGATGGGGTGGCTTTTAAAGTGCATGGAGGAAGAAAGGAATCACCAGTCCTCTATGAAATGGGCAGATAGCACCGGGCAGGTATATCAATGTCAACTGTCTCCCCAGCTCTGCTCCACAATGGCAGACACACGCTTGTGGTACTCCCTCTTATTCTCCTGGTACAGCTGGGCCGCTTGGCTGTTTGCCGGACTGTTGGGGTTTGGCTCATCCAGCAGGGACTGCAAATGGGTCACATGAGATTGGGGGGGGGGGGATTGGTCACCACATACTTGTCCCATTCTGAAATGATCGCTCGCATTACATCACATACCTGGATGGAGGTGAGGATGGAGGACACGTCGTAGGTCGGGCTCCAGCGGTTCTGAAGAATGTCTAGGCATATGCTCCCATCAGCATACACTGAACAGGAACAAGGAAAGTGTGCACTCACTTAGAATCAAATGCTGTACTGCAAAACCTGGCAGTATCAGAGACACCCAGCTTGGGTCTTCACACAGACATTTGCTTGCCAAGTATCAAAATCACACCCCAGGTTAAAATAACCTGACATCCTCACGCTGTTATTACAGAAGTAGTCTACAGTACAGATGTCTGTCAGCCTCTGGAACCACCAAGTCTAACACTATTAGTATGAGACACTCACTGCGTACCATTTGGGTGAAACATCTTGGAGACAAAGCGCACTGTAGGTGGTTTATTTGGGTATTCTTCTGTGAACTCCACTGTGAGCTTGAAGGTGCCTGTGAAGAAAGGATAGCCAGAGAGTTAGCGACTATTACATTTAGCCCAGAAGTGGAGCAGGCCGGCCATTCTCCGCACTACGTACCGTCTTCAAAGGGAGTACCTTCAGGCCTGCAACAGAAAGCACACGGTCATGAATGAACGACTTAAGAGGTTTAAGCTGCAATATAACACTGTTTGATCCGTTAACCATACAGAGGTGACAACGCACGGTCGGCTCACCCGAAAATGACCGCATTCCACAGCATGATGTTGTTCTCCGACGGTGCTCCGCTAACACCGGTAGGGGGGTCCTCCTGCAGCCTAAGGGGGTCGCCAGACACAGGCTGATCGAGTCACCTCCATCACATCTATGGCCATACCTACTAGGGCTTAAACTAACGCATGCAGGCTAATCAATAATTAAAGCCTCATATTCCTGTTAAAATATAAATCTCTTACTCGTGTCATTAGGGACTATTGACTAGCGATTCGTATATGTAACGTTTCTGACCAATTCGGCCAGCCCAGCGGCTTGATTTTCCTGCCGGCCGGTGCGGTTTGTCAGGGTTTAATCTAGCGACCGAGCGCCACGTTTATATTAAGAAAGACCCACATTAAGCTGCGGCTCTGCGGACAGCCGACCGGCACCATCGAGCACATGTGCGTGTTAAAGAGCAGCGGCAGGGAGCGTCTCCAAATTACCGTTTAAAATCCCTCATCAGGCGCCTGGTCGCCGGAGTCGTCATCGTAGCCTCAAAAGTGCCGAACACAAACCTTCGTAAAAATCGAAACTGCTTAAAAAGAAAACAAAAATGTTGAGCGAATTCTCATAATACGAACCAAAACATCGAATTTTGCTCCCTGCTACGAAAAGAGAGCAGAAACCTGCTCCTCTCCCGTGGCGCAACCGAAGCAAATATATTTTAAATAAAAAAGGAGCGGCGATACCACAAGGGAAAACTGGTTGATACTTAAAGCCGTCAGTGTCGTTAATTTATTATTTTTTTAAGGCTTCAGTCGCGTGCTGTGCATTATTCTGAATTGTACTTTATTGTAGAATTCATATGCGGAGGTAGTAGAAATTTAATATGGATTTAAAATAAATAAATTAATAAAAGGTTGCGAGCGTGACCCCTGTTGTCGGGTATGCGATGGAATAGTCCTGGCCGCGGGTGTGGTTACGGTGACGTTGGTGGAAAGCAGTAAGGTCGAGGAGGACGACGGACGACAGGCGAGCATCTAGATGCTGATGCATTAGTGCCAATACGCTGCTACTGTATTTTTTAATAATAGTTTGCAGAAAAAAACCTATCTCAGTTATACAGTACGTCTCGGCAAGTTAAATCACAGCTGTTAACCTCCTTGCCTGCAGACTGCAGTGAATTCCGCCTTAATAAAGTATACAGAAAGGTGCCACTTTACAATAAGGCTACCCATATAAAGAGTTTATGAATGGTTTATAATGTGGTTATTAATTAGGTTGTAACACGTTGTAAATTATTAATAGACTATTTTAAACAAGTTATAACAGTTTTCTTTTTATTAATGAGTTACTACCATTTATAAGTGGCAAAAAGGAGCCTTATTGTAAAGTGGTACCCAAAACATATGGAAATAAATGCTATTAACGTGGAAATAAATTCTGATGATGTAAACACACCGGTCTTACCGCAGCGTTTTGTCTTCCGATTTTTAACAAATGGGCTCTTTGCAGTATTTCAGTCTCTCCAGCAGATGGCGACAGATCCTGCGTTAGCCTGACAAGGTGCTTTAAAAGGGACCGTTTTAAATACATCGACGGTTACAGTTCAGTGAGCGATATGACTCTCCAAAGGTCACGGTCCACAGTACATCCCGTCTTATGTACTGGGATCCTAATACAGGATCGGTATCACTTCCTCTGCACCACGGGTTATTGTAAAACGGCTATTAATTTGTGTTATTTTGTGTAAATAAAAATAACACCACTGGGGGGCGCAATTGAACCAGAAAACAGCGTATTAAAGAATTCTGACATAAGTGTATCAGCGAATTAATTAGTGCACTGTAGTGCCCGGGAAGAAATCTTCGCAGTTCAAACCCAAGTGATACACGTAATGGTAACGATACAGATGACTGTTTGTATAACTTGTGTGAAATTTATAAATAACAGTAACGTTGTTCATAAGTTTACGGTCATGTACTGACAAATACAGTAGGCCTTTTTGGGGAAGCTAGGTTTTATATCTTGTTTTCGCTCCATAATGAAATGATTCAAAATGTTTAAATCTTTAGTAATTATGTATATTAAAAGCAGTGCCGTTCGATGCATTAATGGCGCCGGGCTGCTCGCTGTCTTGCTATGCGTTAGTTGTGAGGTACATGGACGCGTGTCAGCGTGCGCGCACGGCGCCTTGGTGTTAATTCACAAATTCATAACCTCATAGGATTCAGGACAGGAGGAGTTTGTGAAGGTCAGAAAAAGAGATGTAGAAAAACTGACTACAGAAGTCATGCAACTGCGAGAATTTCTGCCCAAAGTCCTCAACCGGGACCTGTTGGAAACAATCCGCAAGGCTGGTGTGATGGAAACCAGTAAGAATCGCCGATATGAATTAATGACCTTCTTTCCGTACAGTGCCGTCCTAAGACATATTTAACACGTTCAACAACAGATAGACATGTTCATTAGGAGCAGGAATTAAAACAGACTCATTGCCCTGTAAGGATGTGTGAGTATATGGTGACAGTCACAGACACTTGATCTTAACAGGAGATCTTAAGTGTCACCCCGAAGGACTGTAACCTGAGAATAAGTACGTGACAACATAAATTTCAGACCAGCACCTCTCCTCCAGGCTGTAAAACTGCTTGCTGACTATCTGAGTCTTGCCAACCTGGGATAAGATCCAAAATAAAAGAAAGTTGTTTTGCAGTTCAGTGTTGGGGGATAAAAGGAGATCCTGAAGTGTGTTGGGCTGCTGACTGTATGATTGCTGTCAGCAGATGGCCGCCAGTCCGAGCTCGGTGCAGCTCACAGATGTGCGTTTGCAGTCTGTTAATGTAAACAGGTTTGGTGTGGTGTGCCTCACTGCTCACGTTTGTTTGCGAACCTGCCATGCTTCCTTTCTCACACACAGAGACGTATTATGGTGTCAGTTAGCTAAACTAGTGTTTCTCAGTCCTGTCTTTGGAGACCCCCAGCCAGTCTACATTTTTGTAGACCTCCCAGCACAATTGAATCAAACAATCAAGAACACCGAATTCCTGCGGCGCACCCAAAATCAAATGCTTACACAGTACGTACTGAATTGTTAGAAGACCACTACTGGACCATTTATGTCATACGCACTGTATGTATGCCTGAGGACAGTATGCATCCCCTCGGACACACTGCTGTCGCCCTCTTGCACGTTATCTGTTTACCAATGATATAGCTTGACCCAAATGAAAGTTAAAAACTTAAAATTTATCGACAAAAAATACATATTTGAGCCAAGTTCTGTTTCTAAGTATTTTATACTTAAATTTTTGCACAGATGGCACTTCCTCCGCCATCTTGACAAAAATTTCAGAGCAAGCAACGTTCTTCCTCTCTGGTTGCTGCCCGAGTCGCCTTGTGGGATAGCGTAGCATCTGCGTGGGATAGCGTAGCATCCGCGTGGGATAGCGTAGCATCCGCGTGGGATAGCGTAGCATCCATGTGGGATAGGGTAGCATCCGTTGGCTGCACACTTTGCAAATTCGCAGAATGTGGTGTCATCCAGATACTGTTCGCCTACTCGTCTCATCCATGCTGAGGATCTGGACATACTGTTCACTTTGTGTGCTATAACATGGCAAACAAGTATTTGGACGCACCCTGGTACAGCATTGGGGACTGGGAGGGTATGAAAACGTGGACTGTTTGGGGATCCCCAAGGACTTGGTTGCAAAACATTGAGCTAAACAAACAAGAGCTATGCACTCAACAAGCAGACTCACATACTCCTCCTTCTCCTTCTGCACCCCGCTGTAGTGATGGAACGCACAGAGTTTGAGCAGAAGCAGCTGAGGCAGGACTGCCTGCACCTCCACTCACGCATGGATGCGGCACACAGAGATTGTGAGAGGGAGCGAGAGGTGAGGGACGCGGGGGCGGGGGCCTCTCTGGAAGTCTGGGGACTTCCCGCTGACTCATGGTTAACTCTAAACATCAATCCCTAAACCCAAAACCTCACATCTCAGAAAGCAGATGAAGCCTGATAGCAGGTGAACGAAGAATTACTCAGTGTTTCATAAATGCGAGGTGCACTTTCTGTATTTGAGGGAACGCTCTTTGTGAAAATCTCCCTACCGAAATCGCAACTGCGTTGAGCAGACGCTGTCCGGGGGTGTCCCCACAAACAGTGACACCTGATTTTCACAAAACTAAAAGTAGTAAAGCTTTTGTTTGATGTCAGGTTGCATGTTTAGGAAACAGCCTTCACATCAAACAACTGACGGGAAATATCCCAAAAACAGAAGCACAGGCTCTTGCTTACGGATGTGGCCTGGTTTCTGTCTGCATGGTGGAGGTGGGAGATGGATCACAAAGTAAGATGCTGAACACAAACATACTTGTGGAGATGGCCATCTGTTCACGGGCAGCAATGCTGGGTCCAGCGCGCTATAGGAGAGCTGCTGTGTCCTCCTGAGTCGCAAGGAGGTCGTAGAGTCAATGTGTGTGTATTTCTGCATGTTTGTCAGTGAGAGAGCAGGTGTTTCTCTGCACCCTGTCTTCACGCGTTTCCTCAGGAGAACCTGGGGCTCAGGCAGCAGCTGAGTCTGGGCCAGGAGCTTCTTCAGCAGCAGGCCGACTTCTGCACGGCTCTGGGTTCGGCTGCCTGCACGCTGCTCTGGAGCGTCTCTGTCAAGGAGGAGGCGGTGAAGGACATCCTGGCTGGTGTGAGTGAGCCGTGCCACAGTCCCAGCATGCCCTCTGCCCATCCCGGGAGGGCACAGGCCGGCCCTCTGCGCGTAGCATACAGTCCTTTGGCCACTCTCACCATTTTGTGGAGATTTGCTTGAGTCTTTCAGAAAACTTGAAAAGAACCAGGGAGATTTAAGCATTACCCATTAACAATTGTGCTACTGTGCAATTCTTAATATCTCCACCACTCTTAGGGAGGCAGTGTGTGGCTCAGCGGAGTAGGTCTCTGTGCCTGGGATCGGAAGGCGGACGGTTTGGTCTCAGCAGTACTGTCACATGCCTGTAGGGTCTCTGAGCGAGGCCCTTAACCTCGGCTTCAAAAAATACTCCAGGGGTGTCAACTCTAAATGGCCTGACCCTGCACTTGGAACTGTGTATATGTATGTGTGTTTGTGTGTGTGTGTGTGTGTGTGTGTGTGTCTCAAGAAAATCTAGAAGGAAAATGTGAATAGAAGCATTCCAGTGAACTCGGAATCGTGCAAATGGCAAATGTGAACTAGCACGAGAGTAGATACATAATTATTGGCCAGGGGATGCATGAGAAGTGGCTCAGCCTCAGGCACCAGACTGGGCTTGGCATTCCTGTAATCCCAGAAAAAGGTGATTCAGCTGAAAGTAGACAGAACGTCATACATGCGTGTTTTAGCTCTTAGAGTTATATGAACACATGCAGCAGTGAGCCTGAAGTGTTTTTACTGAGTCTGATTTTGATTCAAGACGCCGCACGTGTTCCTCTATGTGCACATCCACCCCTGCAGAGCTACATCGAGCCCTTTCTCGCTTTAGCGGGACAAACGCTGGAGAGCTTTGTCAGTTCCCTGAACCCGGTGAAGATGGAGAAGGAGGACTCCAGCTGTCAGGAGCACCAGTTTGTCCTGGCTGTGGCCGGAATCATCACCAGTGAGTGCGGCACTGGCCTTTGAGGCTGGGGGAGAGCCACGGCAGTGGGGGCAGGCTGCACCTATTCTCTTATTTGGGTCATGGTCAGGCAGCAGAACCCAGTCTCAGAGAAACCTGGTCTTCTTTTAGTGCTGATGGTTTAGCTGGGGGGGGGGGGGGGGGGGGGGCGTGGTTTCTTCACGAGGTCAGAGTGTTTTCTTTGTGTTTCAGACATAGCTGCAGTGCCCAGTGGGCGGGACTTCCTGTCTAGCTCCGCCCACATCCTGCTGGACACCATGATGCGGCTGCTGGGAGCCATGAAGCCAGGGGTTTTCTCCAAGCTCAAAGTGTAAGAGAGCGCCACCTGCTGACCAGACCCACCGCATCCTAATCTGGTGCAAGGCAACTACGTTTTGCTGGACTGAGCATCTCAGCACTTAAAACAAAAAAATCTGTTGTGTGATTTCAATGATCACTTTGTCTTCGACGCAGATGCTGTAATAATCCTTCAGGGGGATTGTAGCATAACATTGCCTTTCTGATTGAAGTTTTATTTATGTCCAGCATTAAATAACTCACCCTACGCTTTGTAGCAACAAGTCTAAAAAACACTCAGGAAGTCAGCGCCAATTTCACCTACGTTAAGTTTATTCATACTTTACATGAAGATACTTTTTATATACTATGTAGCGGCTCAACATTTTTCCAAATTTGTCTACAGGAAGTTTGGAGCAGCACAAATATAACCAAGACTCGATAAATGTTTTTTCGTTCTCTGTTTCATTTGCATGACTCAACAGTCACGCAGGGTGGGAAGAAGGCAAATGTAGCATCCAAGACTGTGTATCACCTAGCGTTTTGGGCGCCGAAATTGCTGAGCGACACAGACACACTGGCGCACAAGTATAAATGCTGGCGACGGGGTAGGTTACGCCATAGGCTTGACGCGGAGGTATAAATCAGGCTTTCCACCCAAGCTGTGTATGATTTACCTGCTAACCCTAAACACTGATTCAGTGCTAGGCAATGCTTTCAGTATTAGCAGACATCGCGGATTTCAGGGAAAGGGCGTCTAAAGATGTAACCTGGCACAGTCCGCGCTTCCTAAGTGCGAACACACGCCGTCCTGGCCGTCCTCCCAAATGCTGCGTTGTTTTCTCAGAAGTAGCTGATGTCTGCCCGCTCCCCCCAGGCTGATACTGATGACACTTTACAACGTCAGCATCAGCGTTAAAGGGCTGCGGCTACTTGGCCAGAGCGCGAGCCTCCCCCAACTCCTCCAGGGCCTTCTCCAAGGTAGGACGCCCCCCAGGTCTACACAGGACGCCTCTCAGAAGGAGTCGGGGCACAGGTGTGATTTTTGTAGAAGGTCATGGGTTAAGACTCCTACTCAGCATCAGGCTGAATCATTTCTAACTTCCTGTTTTCTTTCGCTTTAACTTCCTGCTTTTGTTTTTGTTTTCATTCTTCTCCCAGTATTGGAGCAGTTTTGGTCAATGCACTCCACTTGTGAGATCAGTAATATAAAGCAGTACTCACAGACATTCAGCTATTAACACACACACATGCGCACAGAGGTGTGGCAAAAAGGGCAGGCGAGGCGAACACAGCGTAAGCTTGGGGGAAAGGACAGAATACAGGAGATGACTCACTGCTCTCAGCTCACCACAAGTGTGTATTGACGGCATTCGTACCCATGCTTTGTATGTCAGGTGAGTCAGCAACACGGCAGGTGACATGACAGTCTTTAACCCCTCCACACACACACACACACACGAACACGAACACCTTCGGCATCTCCTGGCATAGTCATAAGAGACGTGGCGGAAGATTTAAATATCTTCTCTCCTCTTTCTTTCTGGAGATGGGGAGGTAGAGGTATGTCTCCATAGCCTACGGCTGCTCCACTCTTTGGCCCTGGAGGCGGGGCCTGTGAGCCAGGTGGGTGTGGCTCTGAGGAATGAGCCCGCCCTGGACCGCCTGCACCAGCTGTCCTGCAGCCGCCACGATGCCTTGTGCCAGGCCGCCCGTGAGGTGCTGGATGACCTGGCGGCGCTGCACAACCCCCACGGGTGGGACAAGCCCTCGGACGAGCCGACCCGCCAAAAAGTAAGGCCCCCCCAGGTCTGCCCAAACCGCCAAAGCGGGGCTCTGACTCACACTCTCACTGAGATACTACTGAATCACAGCCAGAGTGTGCGATGGCTAGGAGCACATCGCTGATATTTAGGGAACGATCCAGAATCATGTAACTACAAGCCTTATGTAACCATAACACAACTCGACTGCCCCCGCTGCTGAATTATCGATTGCTTAATCAGTATAATTCCACACTGAGACGGTGTCACAGAAGGTTCTGGAGCAGCCTCAGAAAGAGGCACAGTATGTCATTCCATTGTAAGTCATTCATCAGCGAGCGAGGGAGAGGCTTTGTGTGCGCGTTTGGGAGAAAGAACGCTGGCTCTGTTGGAGGCTGAGTCAGCAGCAGCTGAGCTCCTCCACACGCACAAGGTCCCAGAAGACCTCACGCCAGCCGTCGGCCTGCACTCATGCCACACTTGCCGATTATGAGTCTGCAGCCTGCTGTGGCGTGCGCCGGTAAATGGGTTTTCTACTGACGTCAGTTTTATTCACGGGTCTGTGGAGTCAGTTGAGGCCATTAGTGATGCTTACAGCAAAGGGGACAGAGAAATTATTTGGGACACATGTCACATTAGTTTCACTCAGCATCATTCAGTCAAGGTTCAGATGGTGATGAAAGCGTTTTTTTCCTCATTCAGGGTCCTGCTTCAGATCCGGAGTGACTCTGACGACATCAGTGAGACTGCGCAATGTTCCCCCTCGTTCCGGGTCTGTGCGCAATGTTCCCCCTCGTTCCGGGTCTGTGCGCAATGTTCCCCCTCGTTCCGGGTCTGTGCGCAATGTTCCCTCTCGTTCCCGGTCTGTGCACAATGTTCCCCCTCGTTCCCGGTCTGTGCGCAATGTTCCCCCTCGTTCCGGGTCTGTGCGCAATGTTCCCCCTCGTTCCGGGTCTGTGCGCAATGTTCCCCCTCGTTCCCGGTCTGTGCGCAATGTTCCCCCTCGTTCCGGGTCTGGTTTCTTTCCCGGTTTTCGGAGATCTTGTGAAGACACAATGATGGTTGTTTGTTAGCTTCCAGTTGGTTTGTGTTTGCCATGTTCCCATTGGTCTTTGTACACATCCCTGAGATATCTGGGTAGATTTGTGATTGGCTGTACATGTCACATGACCTAACAAATACACACATACACACTTTGTGCACACTCTAACAGCTGTTTATTTAGTTCCTCACGGCATCAATGATGGTCCAATATCGCTCAGAACCCACGCATTATGGGAAATAAAAGGGAAATAATTCCACAACAGATTTCACTAAACAAGGTTAACTCATCATAATCAGGCCCTCTGAACATCCTATAAGGCTCAGCATCAAGACCCAAGCACCTTCAACCTTCTTACTCAGAACTTAAAATTTTCTTCATTTTTACTTAATTTTAATGTTCTGTGATACATTTAGATTTTGGTTAGTAAGCTTCTGAAATGACGTGTTATGTTTCTTTGAAATAAACATTATTTGAGGTTTGAACAGAATTGTTTTCATTCTTTAGTTCCCTGCAATACTGTCATCTTCAGCTTAAAAAATAACGCTGGATATCTATACAGTTATAAAACCACCCGCATATCATTACAGTTCTATTTGCAGCTTTTGAATATGACCAATCTCAGCTCACAGTCTACTACAATATGGTGCTACACCCTCCCACTCACCCTGAGTCTGTGTGAATGCGGAAGGCAGCTCTGAAATAGCAAGAGAACAGAAGCAGGAAACGCATACCAGCAGGACGTCTCCTCCAAGCACGCAGCGGAGTTTTCTGCAGAATTCAGCGGCACCGAATCACGGACAGCTGTGCGACCGAGCGGCATGAGGGCCAGATGGCCGCGTGTTTAGCACCTGATAGGTGCATCCTGGACGTGAGGTTGGGGAGCGGAGAGCTCCCAGTGTGGGGTTCTAATGCGGGCGACCTGCATTTGGGCAGCGGTGTAAGAGTCGGATTCCTACATCATTTTCATACTTAAAATGTAGCCTTTGTCCCAAAAGCTAAAGTCAGCTGTCGGATGACAGCTGGAGAGTCTACATCCAGAAACTGCAGTCCACTAGGAGCAAAATCAACCCCACCAGCCTCTAGACTGAGAATTAGCAGGTTTAGCCTTGGATTAGACCTGGAGTCAATCTGATCTTGGCATACAGTGACGCTGCTGATCTGAGAGCTGTCCTTCAGTGCCCCTGGCCTTCATCAGCCTTTGCACACCAGCTGCTCTTTGATGCACCTGACGTTTACAGCCTCCGCGTCTGACATGGAGGTGTTGATGGTTTATCAGCCATCATTGGTATGAGGCTAATGGTCTGGGTGCTTAAATCAAACAACAGCAGCTGCCTGCTTTGACACTCAGGCAGCTGTGTGAACACCTCGGGGGTCCTCCTCCCTTCAAGTCACACACAAACACGCACGAAAAAGTCACACTATTATTTCAGTGTTACCATAGTAACAAACTGAGTTGACTTGATAATATTTTTCAACGGGCATACTTCTCCTTTGTTTGCTTTTGCATATAGAATCCACGTCACACAGCACAAATTAGAGGTTAATTATTGTTATTTTGAACGCGAAGTTACAGGGTTGGTATTTAGTGCCACGGCACTCAACTGTCCATTTTGTATTTTGTAAACTTCTGCTCACGTCTTTCCTGAAGTGCACTAATCAGGTGCTGGTTTATGTTTAACCGTGACGGACAACCCTCACGTGACCTGAGGGAGCTGCAGGGAGGCAGAAAGACAGAAGAAGAAAGCGTTACCGCTGGCTTAGACCCCAGACGGAGGCTGCAGAAGCTGGAAGGTCACCTCAGGTGGGAAACCAAATCCACAGCCATCTGCGTCATTCCTGCCCGAGCTCCTCCCTGTGACGTCACCGAGCACTGGCTGTGAGATCGCTGGCATCTCTGCTGCTGGTATTCCTGGCATACCAGGTTACCAGATGCAGTTTTTTTTTGTTTTTTTTTTAAGTATTGAGCACCACGGGGTGTCAACTGTGAGGCTAAAATGAGGACGGCATTCGTGGTAGAAATGGAAAAAGAGAATTAGTCTGATGAGCCACTTTCTGTATCTGGACCGAGTGAATTTGAAATGAAGGAGCGGACACACGGGGGATTGTGGGTAACGGCGTGTGTGGGAGGGATGGCAGGAAGGCGTCTCACTCAATATAGAAACATGGGTCCGACTTTTCTCACTCTCTTCCTATGAATCAGCGCTACCGTGATCTCTGAAAGGCTGAGAGACACGCAAGGCTTCCACCCAGAAAACATTTCCATTTCCGCACAATTTGTGAACTTACTGGAAAGCCCAACATACCTCCAGCGATCTGCCTGTGACACTGTACTGGAAATGTCATAACTGAATGTACTATGGAATACCAGGGGGCTCCAGTGACAGATATATGACAGGTCATTTGGTCTTGCAGAGCTTGTGAAACACAAACAAAACGACTGGCTGCGCGCCATCATTTAGAAAGCCAACAGCCGCCCCCCACTATGCTGTAATTTGGAGCTTCCCGTCTGAGGCTCCTGTCTGAGCAGATTCACCACCATCTCCCCCGTTTCGGTGGAACAGTCCAGATTCCTGTCCCTGTTTTCTGAAACACAAGACTGTTTGCTCTCCACTCCTCGCTGTCCTGCAGGTGCGACCTTCCGAAGACAATGACGATTTCCTGTGATGTCAGTGATTACGAGCAAAGCGTGTTAGTACTCAGTCACCACACTGCAGGGCGGTCTGTGCCATTTGGGCGGCTCCAGTATCTTTTCCCAGAACCCCTCACTGAACTATGCTCTGAAATCTTTAGTCCTGGTACATTTAATTTAATGGGGTGAATGGAGAATGTCATCTCCTATATATGAAACCAAATCTCCGCCCTTATGCCAGCATTCCCAGAACAAATGGTTTTCATGGGGTTTTGATTCAAACTTTCAGCTACAGAAATCACACCAGTACAGCTTTCAGAATGAAAGACAGAAAAAGTCTAGGTTGAAGCCCCATGTGACTATGATCAAATGTCACACGGTAGCAGACGGGCCTTGTGACCGCGCCTCTTGAGTTATTCTTTTTACTGTCCATGAAGAGTTGCGTAGATCGAGAAAAAGCAACGGAAGACCACGGGAGGATGAAGGAGACAGAAGTAGTGAGAAAAGAGGGTGGGTTGAAACAGAGAGAGGGTAGAAAAAAGAGATATAGAGAGAAAGAGGGAAGAAAGTCAGAGCAAGAGAGAAGCACAGTGTGAGAGAGACATCATTGATGGCACAAACAACCAGACGCTGCCTTCAATCTGCCTACTGTTTACACATACGTGCATTTCTACCTTATACAGCATCTTGACCTTATCCTGTGTCTCCATCTAAGTCTGTCCTGCACCTGGCTGGCCCCCCGCAGCTGCGAGACCACGTTACCCTGCCAACCCCCACCCTGTAAACAGCGTCAGATCGGGCCACCTGCCAGCCCCCATCTTAGGCAGCCGTCTGATTCGCTCAGGATGGGTGGCTCGTGTCGGCTCTGGAATGCAGACCATGCCAAGCGGCCTGACCTCGTCGTGCCAAGGGGACGGCAGGTTCCAGGGGGGTGGAGGAGGGGGTTCAGCTGACCTCGGCCTTCTGACTCCAGCCCTGCTGGGAATGACATATTATACAGCTGCATTTAGTTGAAGACAGGGATCGTCAACCAGTCCATAGGCTGACAAATGTGTCTGTGGCAAAATGCTTTGAATGAGAAAAACTGTTGCTACATTTTAAAACACTGAATCCGTGGTTAAAGTTGCACTTTGATCACAATGTCTGTCAGAATTTGACTGGTTGGAGATCACTGTATAAAGCAGGAGGATAGCTGTTTGTTGCAATGTGTGCGTTCTCCGCTGCAGTGCCTTCTGGGAAATCTGTAGACAGAAAGCCGGCGATCCTCTCCCCCGAGTTTGGCGTGAATCGTCACAGATAAGTCAGTGTAAATAAGACTTGAGGCCTTCAGCACAGTGAGTACTGAGAAATTCCACCGCGTGAGCTCAAAGTATCCTTGGAAGGAAGGTGACCTTGCTCTTCAAGTCCACGTTGCTTGTGTACAAGCTGTGTTGTGTCTCAGTGGTCCTCTCTGTGCCTCATACTATGTGATGTGCCTGCAATTAAAATGCTAGTCGAGCCAGTTGCATGTTTTGTATTCTGTATTTACACTATCAGGTGGTACATCAGGAAGACACATGACAGGTCATATTGACATTTGTTGACATTTGTTGACATTTTCTTAATATCTCGCCCCCAAAACCATTTCTTTCAGCGCGTCTGGTTCACAGTAAAGCCACATCTAGCTGTCCCAGTTACTAGCGGCAGGGCTAAGCTGAGAAAGCAGGCCACTGGTGCCGCTTTGGTCGCTGAGGCTGCGCACACCATGACTCACAGACAACAGGACTCTGATGTTGGTATTTGTAGAGTGCGAAAAATAACGATGCTCAGCCGAAACTCACGTGGCCCTTCCTGTAAGTCATATGCGGCCCTGGCAAGGTGAAGCCCAATGCACACGGTGAGACATGTGGAAGACCCTGGGAATGGTCCGATCGATGAATACTCACTCCACTGCTGACGACCCGCTGATGAGGAAAGGCCCTTGACCAGACAGCAGTGGTATAATCTCAGGTGAGGTGCCTAATTCTCACCAAGGTCACACTCTCCTCGTCTCACACGCAGTCACAGTCACACTTCAGCCAAATGCTAAGAACACAATCAAATTCTTGAAAAGCACAAAATCTTTTTGTTCAGAACTTTCACGATGCCAGTTCATGGCCCCCACTTAGAGCTGCTTGTTTCATCAGAGCAGACTTTCAGAGCATGTTTCTCAAAGAAAAGGGCTGCACAACCACACAATCACATGTTTATATGCCACCTGACCGAGCTTTTTCAAAAACCACGAGCCACCATCCAAAATGGTTATGCCGTTTATCATTAGGTAATGTGTCTATTTAATGTCATCCATCACTGATCGATTCGCTAAGTTTATATGACCACTCCTCGAGTTCCGTTCCAGCGACCAGGTCATCAAGCGAAATGGTTGCTAAGTGAAAATCGCGGTGGTCTAGGTGTGACCGCGACTGCGCTTACGACTTCACTGTAGCTTTCCATACTCAGTTTCCTTTATCCTTCAAAAAGTGGACAACATCTTGTACGTCCTACTCCTGAGATCTTTCACTATGACGTGCTCTGGTGTCAGACGTATGTGATTTCGTTGTAAATGCACGCATTGGTCACTGCCTGTTGTAGTTGCTAAAGGAGTGGTTGAATAGACACATATTAGGGGTTCAAGCCTAATATTGATTTATATGTGGGAAGTTTGCATGTTTCCCCCAGCTACCCAAAGACATGTAGCTAGGCTAACTGGCGTGTGTGTGTGTGTGTTATGTATATATTATGTAAAAACTAAAAATGCCAGAAGTGTTGTATTTTGTTTGGTTGCTCGTGGTTAAGGTTGCATTTTTGGGATTAGGGTTAAGCCCCATATGCGGTTCTCA